GGGGGGGGGGGGGGGGTCACGACGTCTCCTCCTCTTGTGCGCAATCAAACGGTGTTTAAAAATAAATGTAACAGGTTCGGATTAATCGTTCCGCGAAATATACCGTACACCTTTTATTGGCCGAGGTGTAGGTGTAATAATAGAGGGCGGACGCTCATCCGATTGGCCACCGGGCTCTCGGTATTGTTGTGCAGCATACCTGCGCTGTGTGCTCGTGGGCCGACCAGGTGCGATCACGCCCTTACTGCCGCATTGGCCCGCACCTGTACAACAGGTGTAGGCCTCGTCGACACCTTTATCCTTACTCGGTAGGTGTACCTACGCGTTTTATAATGGACAGGGCCCATAAAATGACGGTCCTTAAATTTTGACGGCCATTGACGACGACACACCGTACCAGTAGATACCAATCCGTTTTTATATACCGCTAACTAACTTGGTTGTTTGTTGTGTTTCAGTGCCCTTGCCCGGAATGAGCTTGGAAGGCCTGCTCAAGGATTACCAAGACCAGCAGCAACAACACTGCTGTCCGTTTTGCCGCGATCCACTGGATTCTATGGGTTCGCTCAAGGAGCACTTGGACAACGGTTGCCGGGCTCGGCCTTCGTCTCAACCTTCGCCACCAGCTTCGCAGACTCCCATCGGCGGCCAATACGGTTGCTTGCAATGTAACGCCGCTTTCGGTAACCGCGACCTGTTGGAGAAACACGAACTTCTGCATTCGCCCAACGCCCAAGTGGTAAGTGCAGTACGCATGTTTGATATTTTAAAAAACAACTGGATCCTAATGGTGCCTGTTTCTTTGTGAGAACAACCGCCAAATCATATTTTTTGTTTTCGACGACCTCGCCCGTAAACGCCACACCTTTATGCATTTGAATGTATATACGCATCCGTTCACGACGTCATTATGTATGTGTGCGTCTCTCTCTGCTATACTTTTAACGATTCGGTTCGTTATGATGTCGGTCGTATCCACGATTGTCTGAAATATAATGACATTTATACATGGCCGCACACCTAAAATCCTCTAAAACAAACATTGTGTATTTAATGCACAAAAGGCATACAAGAGTCTCGCTACGTTCTATGTTTTTAAGGCGGCTTGTGTGGTCTGGCTCGTATACCAATACCACACGGTCGTTTTGTAGACAAAAAAGACGAAAATATTTTTGGGGGGTCAAAAAAAAGTAAAGTGTATAACGTGGTGGTGTCGGCGGCCTTGGTATGCGATGAGGATCCACCACCGCAAGGTGTTCCTCCCGACTATAGAGCAACCCTCCCGACCTTAGGTTTATAACGCTTGTACTACTCGTTCGGGTCGCAGTTCGTCCAGATGTTGGTCCCTTTTTATATATACACACGTATACCTCCCGCTCGTTCGTGGAAAATCAACGATCAGTGCACATACTGAGCCATGTATTCCTTAAAGACCCCGCGGGTTCACACAAAGAGAATCGACGTATAAACACGTATGTACACTTCTCTTCACGTGCACCTCTTCTTCCTGGGCACGGCCATTAAAAATGTCGGTGTGTATCTGAGAGCGAGAAAAAAAAAACACATCCACACACAATAAAACCCGAACAGCTGTGCGAAGACCTCGCGCGCAGGTACCTCGTATCGTGAGGTCGTGCACGAATCGAAATTTCCAAACTGGCACTTGGGGGCGGATGGACTTGACGCTCGACGGGATATCTGTTGGACAATTATTACACACCGTGTTTTATTATCGTATAGCGATTATTTTATTATCGTCGGGCACACATGGCCATCACATTATTTACAGGTCGAGGGGGCGATAACGCCATTGCACGGGCTCTCCCGTATAACGACAGTAATCGTGTACCGCTGTGATTCTTTATCCTCTGAGAGAACACATTTTAATATGCACACTGATGTCAATACGCGACTGCCGCCGATTGTTTTGGTTTTTCAAACTTCATCATAACAAATTCTTATACGAAACGGCTTTGTGCTTCCCACGAACATATAAACAATACATCTTTGATTTCGTTAAAAAATACTGTGCCCTTTAATCGAGTCACATTTTAATTGTTATAACTGAATCCGATAAGAATTAAAAAGTGTGCACTCGTGTTTGGAATTAACAGGTCGATTGAAAAACTTGAAAACGTCGTTTTTCATATTTGAACGCAAATAAAATAATCATTCAAAGACGTTTAGTTCAATTAGACATAATTTTTTGTCGACGCAAGGACAAATCGAAAACATTTGTTGTTTGTTGTTTGCATTGTGTATATTATTATATCTAATATCTACAGGCGATCTTAAGTGTGTTAAGAGACCACATGGAACTTAATGATTTTAGTAACCTGTGTGTGTGTTTGTCACCATTAGGGTTTCTCACGATTGTATTCTCTCTCGTTCGTTTATATAGATGTACGTTTAATATACGTGTTGAAAAAACACATGGTGACATGTTGACGTCATACCTTTTCCACATTCGTATTTCATTTTGCTTTATTATTTTTTTTTATCCTGCCGCGCCACCATCAACACTCTAAATGGCCGCGTACGCCTTGTTTTTTTTTTTTCAATTATTTTTAATAAGGTCTCTGTGCTTCCATGGGATTTTTCGGAGGACTCCTACAAAGATTTTTTTGGCCGTGAGATCTTTATTTTATTTTTTTCGTGTCTACCTTTACCAACCCTCGCATAATTTTCATGTGTATGATTTATGTAAAAAAACATTATTCGTTGATTAATAACACACGTGTTTTATTTTTGTCTGTCTCTAACAGTCGTGCAAGGTGTGCAACAAAACATTCGCCAACGTGTATCGTCTTCAGAGGCACATGATAAGTCACGACGAGAGTGCCGTTTTACGAAAATTCAAATGCCCGGAATGCGACAAGGCATTCAAATTCAAACACCATCTCAAGGTAACGATAAAAAAAAAACTAAATAAAATGTATTTTTACACGACCGACCGTAACAAAATGTGTTAATGCCCGTTTTTTCTTTGTGATTTTAGGAACACATTCGTATCCATAGCGGCGAAAAGCCATTCGAGTGTTCTAATTGCGGCAAACGGTTCTCGCACTCTGGTTCCTATTCGAGTCACATGACTTCCAAGAAGTGTCTGATCATGAATCTCAAAGTCGGCGGTCGTGGATCACAAATGAATCGTACCGGAAGTACAGTATCCATTGTGCAAAACAACAACAATAATAACAACAATAGTTATCAGCCAAAACAACGTCAAGTTCCTAACAACATCGTCCACAACAACAACAACAACAACAACAGCAGCAATCACAACAATAACAACAATTCTTTCTCGCCTCTATTGCCCAAGTACGACGTGTCTGCACCTCCATTTTACCATCCTCAGTCGCAAGCGACCAACTTCTACTTCCCGAGCCTGTTCAACGCCCAAAGCAACTTTAATATACACAACTTACTTCCTTCGGTCGCACTACCTCCGAAAATTGAAGCGCTGCCCGATGAACCGTCCGCCGATAAAAAAACCGACGACGACGAAAAGTGCAGTGTAGGCGGTGCCACGGGTAGCGGTGCGGAAGATGACGAAAAGTACGAAGACAACGAAGTCGATGTAGTTAGTGTCAAGAAAGAGCAAGACGACGAAGATTCGGTCACTGCTGCAGCGGTGGCGGCCGAAAATGACGCAGTCAAGAGACTTTTGGAGACGGTGAACGTATCCGTTACCAAACAATTACTGATGGCCAACGCTGCTGCGGTTGCACATCACCAACAACAAGTGAGCACCTCATGCGGTTCGTCCGGTTGTCCGAGTGTGGTGAGTGATTCGCCACCTTACCATCACGTAAACCGAACAGAGGGCTTGGCGGCCAAACTAGAAGATTCCATCGGCGGGACCGGCGGCAAGAACAACGGCTATGATGCCGGTAGCGACTGTTATACGGACGACGAACATCGGCCGTGTACCACCGAAGAAGAAGACTCGATCGATCAAGACGGACGTAAGATAAGAGTCCGATCGCAAATTGCAGACGACCAATTGGCCGTGTTGAAAGAGTGTTATGCTGCCAACCCGCGGCCGAAGCGCGAAGAACTTTGCCGCATAGCCGATCGCATCGGGTTTAGCGTGCGTGTCGTCCAAGTATGGTTCCAGAACAACCGGGCCAGGGACAGGCGCGAAGGTAGACTTGTACACATGCCGTACTCGCCGGCGTCATCGGTTTTACACGTCGAACAGCCGTTAGACTTGTCCACTAAACGCTACAAAGAAGTGCAAGACGAATGCGGCGCCGTAAACTTGTCGCTAAACGTGTGTTGGACAAACAACCGAAGTGACTGTTCTGGATCGCCGCCGTCCTCCACGTCCTCGACAGTACCCGCAGCTCGCAGAGCATTCGCCTCGGCCGTTCCACAACAACACTCCCCGTCATCCGGTTACTCGCATCCCGCATCTCATTCTCCCATACCCGCAGTGGCGTTGCGCCATAACGACAGCCTGAGTCCGTCGTCCGAGAAAAGATCATGGAAAAGGGTAAGTACGCCGATTGGTTTACAACCGCGTGAGCAAAATGACTAATGCGACGTGTTTCTCATTTGTAGGGATACGGAGATTGGAGTGACATGACGGACGAAGCGGAAGACTCGGGATGCACGTCCCAAGACCCTGATGACATGGTGTCCACTGGCGGTAGTGTACAGTTGACCGTCACCCCTCCTAGTAAAAAATCAAAGACTTCGCTCGAATCTGCAGACATACCAGGTAATAATTGATAAATGCATTGACTGACACATTTTTCATCGACGTGTATTGCAACTATAATTGTTATCCCACCCCCCCGTAAAAACACTGAAACCTAATTGATTGATTTGTTTACAGATCAGAGACCTCATAAATGTGACGTATGCCCTAAAGCATTCAAACACAAACACCATTTGACTGAACATAAACGATTGCACAGCGGTGAAAAACCTTTTCAGTGTTCTAAATGCATGAAACGATTTTCACATTCAGGTTCCTACAGCCAACACATGAATCACCGATTTTCCTATTGCAAACCATACAGAGAGTAAACTATGTTAAACTTACACGAGTTTTTGATAGTGATTCTTGATTTTTTCTCACTGTGTGTGTAACTTTTATATTATTACATAAGTTGCGACCCTCGTCTACTTACCAAAATTTTGTTTATATTATTATTCATAGCAAATATTANACACAAACACCATTTGACTGAACATAAACGATTGCACAGCGGTGAAAAACCTTTTCAGTGTTCTAAATGCATGAAACGATTTTCACATTCAGGTTCCTACAGCCAACACATGAATCACCGATTTTCCTATTGCAAACCATACAGAGAGTAAACTATGTTAAACTTACACGAGTTTTTGATAGTGATTCTTGATTTTTTCTCACTGTGTGTGTAACTTTTATATTATTACATAAGTTGCGACCCTCGTCTACTTACCAAAATTTTGTTTATATTATTATTCATAGCAAATATTATAAATATATATATATATATATTAAGTAAGATAATATATAAATTATTCATTGTAATAAAATTTTATAATATGTTTTCGATTTAAAATGAAAAACGAAATAAATAAAAAAGGGTCTACATTTAATTTTAAGTATGTGAAAACTTTAGAGTAAAAAATTAAGACAATAATTATTTCTGGTTGTTCGTTACAATAATAGCCTCTTAAAAAAGTCGTGTTGTTGTAGCTATTATCGGCTCTACTTTATATTTTTATATAAATGTTAAGAATTTAAAAATATTTGCGAAAAACTCTCTCCCTCTCTCTCTCTATATATATATAATACCGCGAGACAATACATTTAATGATACCTTTTTTTTAATTATAATTTTAATAATAACATATGTGTGTAAATATTTAATTTTTAGCGTGTGATTTCTTTTTATTCATTTTCAAATATTTATATAATTATTTAAAGAAAATACATTTACAAATATATCAAGTATAAACCTGTTTTATATTACAGATGTTCAGAATTCATCTGATACTTAATTGTTATTGAGTCAAATATTTATGTGTTTTCCTGTTAGAGCAAAATAATATATGTGTTTATTGTACATAATTGCTCTGCATCAATAATTTGAATCAGTCTACTCTCTTGTGACATGAAAAATATGCTTTTAATTATAAGTTTATTTATAAATATTATTTGTATCATAAAAAATGTATAAGTAGAATTATTGTTATATTCATATATTCATATATTATTAGCTTAAAGATTTTATTTAAGGGTATCATAAATACTATTTAGAAATATATTTATAGTCCAATGTCAGTCCTAATAAATTGGATATTTGCACCTCTATAAGATACAATAAACTCCACATATTTTGGTGTAACCATTTAAAATGGAAATATATTGGAAAAATTACAAACTGAATATCTCCAGGACTGTCTATATTTAATTGTTAGCAATTATAAGACTACCTAACCTAATTAAAAGGTATGGTAAATAATTGTTGAAGAAAATTGTGAATTCAATGTGCCTATATATTATATTTTCAGTATTTGAAAAATAACTTACCTTTTAATTTAAATTTGTATGTAAATAAACGCTGTCATTGTGTAAAGTTTATGGGTAGAATTACAATTGCAATTTTTTTTATTAAAAAAAAAAACTGGCTAGCTTGACCAAAGATAATTAAGATAATTAATTTTTAAGCAGTATAAAATGCATATATTAACTTAATGTAAAAATAAATATGTTTTATTTGTAAGATAACCTTCATTTTTGGTATTATTTAAACAAAAAACTGGTTTTATTTTGTGCAATGCATTTTTTAAGAGAATATTATAAGTATTATACAGTTTTAACTATAAATTATTTTCTGTAATTATTTGATATAATCAGTGTTCTTGGTTATTTAGTTTATTTTGGTTATGTGATTTTTTGGATTATAATTTTTTCATAGAGTTTTACAAATTTATTTATTAATTTTCTTTTTTTACTTATTACTATTATTGGTAAAATTTGTCAAATGTAGTTGCCGATACAAAATTTGTTCGGTTTATATAAATAAGGTTAATGTTGTATTTACAAACAATATAAATTTATTTATAAAAATATATATAAATGTAAAATTATTAATATAAATATAAAATATATATGAATGATTAATTTAAAAATACCTTGTGTTTTGGCTTAATTTTTTTTTCTACTATTTTTTATAACATTTTATAATACACTTACAATGAAAATAATTACCTTACTGCATTGTAAAAAAATTCAATTTTTCAAATTTCACTTCAATTTAAATTCACTTACATTTTTTAATGTAAGGTTTTAATATAGGTTGTAAATGTGTGTTTAATCTTCTGACATTTCAAGTTAAAACTTTATTGTTACAGTCATGAAAATATATTTCATATATCCTGTTGTAGTTCATTTCTATATTTAGTATTATCCTATCAATTTTTATGGATTTTTTGAGGCATATACATTGACAAAAGAAAAGCCACCATAAGGTTTCGTCCCCTTTAATGTAATCTGATCCTAAGCCTAAATTCATAATCTAATGATTTTTATTCAATATAATCAAAAATTTATTTGGGTATTTATGAATGTATAATTTAAATAAATCTCAATAAAACTGTAAATTAAATAATAGAAAGTAAAAATGATTTGTTATAAGTGCAAATAGGGGATATTTCGAATACTTAAAACACCTAACATTAAAAAAATTATGCATAATTATGGTTATATTTATGATTGTATAAAAATAATTTTAAAGAAGAGAAAATTATGTTAAAAGGATCATTCATAGCTTTTTATTTTACAAATAACTTGCTTATTTTGGAAAAAAATACTTGATTTTAGAGGTCCAATAAAATATCAATGTGCTCCTCAATAATATCTTAGGTGATTTATTTGGAGTAGATCTAACTTATCTTATTCATCTTATTGATATTATCATATATGATTCAATATGATTTTATAAATAACCTAATAAGAAGAACTACAAATTAAATATATTTAGTAACTATTATAATAAATACATGTAATATTTATTAATGATGAATTTAATAGATAGTATATGTACACAAAATTATTTCTTAAACACATCACAATATTTATAGTTGCTCTTTTTATTATTTAAATTTAATAATCTTCAACATTTTTTGGTGGTCTTATGTCTACATTTCTCTGAATTGATTCAATGAGCCACTTAATACCTTCATTAATACCATCCCTTTTAAAGAAAAAAAGTAATTAAAAATCAGCACAATGAATTATGTAGTCACTTATTTATTAACTCAATAATATTAGAACATTTAATTTATTACATCATTACCCTGTTAATGCAGAGATAGGCATGACCATAAAATCACGTCTTCCTATAAGATGAGCATTCTGATTAAAAATAGGTTTAACATCCCGAACACCCATACAATCAGGTATATCTTGTTTATTTGCTAGTATAAGAAGTGGAATTCCTGCTAAGTATTCATTACATATCATTTTATCTATGAATTAAAATCAAATTTGTGAATTTATAAAGTAGTTCTAAACATAATTAAATGAAATAAATTCATGTAAACTATATGGTTATTACTTAAAAAAAGTATTATTTTAGAGAAAAGAAAAATAGTCTTGAAATTTTAAAATGTAGAATTACCAAATGTTCTTTTTGATTCATCCATACGGTCTCGATCAGAAGAGTCAACAATATATATTACCGCATGACATTCTGAATAATACTGTATAAGAAATAAATTTATAATTTTATAATTATTAAATATAGGTAATAAATTAATAATATATATTACCTTATCCCAAAGTGACTGAAGTTCAGATTGTCCACCCAAATCCCAAAAATTCAAGCTTACTCTATCTACATCAATGCTTCCAACATTAAAACCTACAGTCGTAGTAATTTTACTCGGATTAATTCCTCTATAGTTCTTATTGAATTTTGTTTTTGACGACTCTAAGTAGGTCTAAAATAAATTAATAAAATTTTATTGGCTATTTATTTTAATTATTAGCTGTGTACTTACAGTTTTTCCTGCATTATCTAAGCCTAAAATTAACACACAGAATTCATCTTTTTGAGTTAAATACTTATAAAAACCATACAAAAGAGTATACATTGTTACTTTAAATTATTGATACAAAACTCACATAATAGTTGGATAGCAAATTATTAGAGAAATATAAATTACGGACTTTAAAATATTATTTTGATATATTATAATAAAATTACAATATTAATTATTTAGCATTAAGTACAAATTAATAAATAAAAAAAAAATAATATAATATTAATTTAAATATTTTGTATATTTTAAAATAAATAAATTGATAAAACATTTCAAATTCTTTAAAAATTAGTGATAATATAAATTCTTTAAGAATAAGTGATAATATTATCTTCTTTTGATAAATTAATAAGCAGCCAACATTATACTATGTATTTTAGTCTTTTACAAAATATAATAATAAAATCGTCGAATTCTGTTTATTTAAATTAAAATATGAAAATAACTATATTAAAATCGTGTAAAGCGTATGTTATAACTTTAAATTTATAAAATATTTACTTCTAGTCTAAGAAAACTGATCAATATGGGTGCATGCTGTAGTTGGTGTAAGGACGAAGATATTTACAGTGTAAGTTAATCCATTTTTTTTTTTTATTAATAATAAAGTGCATTTTCAATAGCTAATATACGTAAATATTGTATTTTTTATTCAATATGAAATCTATTTTTCTTTAATATGTACAAGAAAAACCATAAACTATTATTGTTTATTGAATTATTGTAAATTGATTAAAATAAAAATCTAGTACTGAATTTAATTTTTAACTGCCCAAAAATCTCCATGACTTTACTTAGTCTTCAAAATGATTATAGGTATTCAATATTGTTAGATTTTTATTAAGTATCAGTAGTTGCCTTAAATAGATTCAAGTACGTATCTGAAAATGTATACGTTTTTCTAAGAGGATGCAGGTGTTAGAACCCCAATAATTAAATTAAATACATGGATAAGATATATTTTAAAATATCTTATGCATAACCCAGTAAGACAAATACCTAAGGACAGCACTGGTTCTTTATTTCTGATATTTTTTATTTTATTTAGAATTAAAACATTCAAAATCTATTCACCTACTTAATTTTAGTTCATATAAATAATGCCAAATTTAAGCAATATTTTTTTATTTAATAATATTAAATAATACATAAACTCAACTCAATAATAAAAATTTTTATGATATTGAATATCTAATTAAATTTTTTCAATTATTTTCTAACTTAATCTATACATATTATGGGTATTAAGAATTGTGGATTAATTAACATTTTTGAAAGAACGTGCAAAATAAGAAATCATACAATTATTTTAGGGATAAAAAATTAATAAATATTTCAATAGTAAATTCAAAACAAAAATTAAATAAGATATGTAAGTAATTTTTTTATTGAATATGAATAATTTAATTATTCTATCAATGTTACTGTTTATTGTTTATGTAAAAATAGAACAATATGATTCATTGTTAAGTAATAATGAAAAATATTATATTTTTTTTATTCAAAACGTATTCAAAAAGTAATAAATTACAATATAAAATAAATAAATTATTTTTTAGCAACTTAATTATAAAACTAGATATTAATACATCAAAATGTTAGATTACTTAATTTGTTTATGAGTTTAACTAGTTACTTTCAACCTAAATAACTTATTAAATTAAAATATACTTCAATAACTTAAAATTAAGGTTTTTATAGAAAAAAATGTCTAGTTACTTGTAGTTTAATTAAATAAAAAAATTAATTTTTTAACTTAATTAAATTATGACTTTATTTTAGTTTCCGTTAAAACTAACATATTTGCATCAAAGCGATAACTAAAGTTGAATATTGATTAATGTGAATTATTTTATGTTTAGGGTGTAGATCAAGAACGGACTCATTTGCTCATTGACCCTTCCTGTAATAATACAAGCATTCAGCGAGTAACAGAAGAATATCATTATGGGTCATTACCTAAACAATCTGAAGAGCAAGCTGGTTTGAACCGTATTTTAGAAGAAATATCTGCGTCAGTTTTTAAAATAAATTATTATTTGTTTGTTTATTACTAATTTTTACCTCTCAAGTTATCTAAAAGTTCAATTTTATTTTTGTAGAAATGTTATTGATGTTGGAGCATTGCACAATTGTATTGACCAACAAGAAGTTTTAGAACGTCAAAATCATTATAATTCTAAACTACAAAATTTGCCTTTGTCATCTGTTGCTAATACTGTTGTAAGTTTACGACAACCTCCAGTTTGTTTATTAAAAGATGTTCCTGGCCCTGAAAAGATATTATCCAGAACACTTGATTTGCCTGAAAATTTCCGTGATATAATGGCTCGAGTAATTGAAATACAAAGACTGATATCCATAATGAGTGTGGAACATAAAGGAGATTTAGTGGTTGAATTTTAAATATAAGACATCTTGTTAGCAACAATAAGATATAATCAATTATAAATTAAAATTTATATAAATATTTATACAATATTATACATATATAACTGTGAATAATTTTTTTATTACTTATTTAATTTATTTAAAAGAATAATCTAACTTTTTTGTAAAGGTGGTACATGAAAAAAATATAACATAAAACCTGTTCCCATAAACAAATGTAAAATCACAATTAAAAAGATAAATCCAAAAGGTTTTTGACCTAATGCTGGCAAAATTGATGATATTATAACATAGCCTGATAGTAGAGTACCAGCAGCAACTAAAAGCCATTGAAGCCATAAAATTTGAATAACCCATAAAATTGAAATTGGAATGAATATGGCGAGTGAATAACCATACAGACATAGCAACTCTAAATAACTGAGAACAAACTAAATAAAAAAATATTATTTAAACATCAATAAATTAACAATAAAATGTATACTAAGAGATATATAATTTAAGATTATTTAAATACGAATTTACTTGAAAATTTTGATATAAAGCTTCTTAGAACAAAAAAAAAAAATGTTTAAGTGTTCAAGCTCTATTATAAGTAGTATATTTCATTACTGTTATTATACATAATATGAACAATAAAAATAATAATAATTAATTTTTTTGTTACTTTAAAATTATTTTAATTATTTAACAATCATTAATATATATATATATTAATGTAATATTTTCATAATTTTTAATTAATTAATATCATATTCTCTAAAATGTATTTATTGAACTTTCAAAGGCTAAATTAAAATGAAAACATATAGAATTATATTTCAATTTTAAAATTCTATAGATAAAATTATTTATATTATGGAGGTTGCCTTTATAACTCAGTAAAGAAAATATCACTTGATAGTACAGTTATGAAAAATGAATTACATAGTATATAAGTTTTTCTATCATTTAATTATACAAGTTTTGTCCTTCTAAAGTTAAATAATTATTTTGAGAATATTTCTATACCAAAAATAAAGGGCAAATTCAATTGTAATTTTTTATCAAGTTTTGAATTTTATTTTGATAAAAATATTTTATTACTTGTGGTTCTTTGTACTTGATAAATCCCCATAATGCAAATGGTAGTAACCAAGCATATAAAAAAATTGCAGTAGCTGCAGAAGAAACAGCATGAAAGTTGTATTTCCAATGGTAATCATGATTAGCAGCTACTTGAATATAATTAGCAACATTTCCACTAATAGCAATAGAAAATACTAATGTTACACATATCCAGAATGGGCCATAAACATCTGGTTTTGATCTAATAAAAAGTTGTAAATAGTTGTTTCCAAGTTTTGGAATTAATGCTCCTTTAATACGTTCTAATACATCTTCTGATGTTACATCAAAATATTTTTGAAAATATTCAATAGTATATATTGGATATTTAGGTAATGGTAACTCTGTAGGATTTGATAAAGGTGGTATATTTTCATGTTCAACTGTACGAAAATCCATTTCTATAAAAAGAAAATATTATTATAAAAGATGCTTCAATAAAAAGATTTATCATATATTTTATTATATTAAATTGTACTTTTTTATGGTAATTAATTATTATTTATATTAAATCATCTAATTTTTTTAAAAGTGTAAATTACTTATGTCAATATTTTACGTAGATAAAATTGCAATAAATAATTTTTTCAATAATTAAATACACAAAATTTTAATTTAAAAATGTGTACATACTTAAGCATTAAACTGTAGATTTTTTGTGATATGGCAGTATTGTCTAATTTAAATTTTGACTTTTATATTTTACTTATCATAAGCATTCAAACAACTATGAATTACATTAAACAAGAAATTTAGATTAAAATAGGTTAATGCGATCAGATAATTTTCTTAAAATAATTCTTTACAGCATTAGGCCTCTTTAATATTGTAATTTTTTAATAAAATCTTGCCAGTCGTTTATTACAGATAACGTCATAATTTAATATCTTGTTCTTACCAGAGAACTTAACCATAGATACCACACTTCAGTTCACTTTTTTTTAGGTTAATAGGTTATCAGTGTCTTGTTTTTAAATTTTAATACTTATTTGGACGCGATAAGGCCAAGTAGTCGTTTGCTGAATTTCTGTCTAATTTTTTTAATTTAACTTTTAATATTTATTATTATTTTATTCGTAACTTAGTATAATTAAATTCATAATCATTTTTATATTTATAGTTAAAATTTCATAAGCGTTTGGTAAGATTTAAAAAAATTATATCAATTGGTTTATTATTTAATTTATTTTCTATATTTTGTATCTATTATTTTTTTTATTGCAGTATACAGTTTATTAAGCTAAAATGGTTATTGGATTACAACCTTTAGAATTTTCTGATTGCATCACGGATAGTCCATATTTTCGCCAAAAGCTACATGAACATGAAGAAGTTTTGGAAAAAACAAACCGTCAAATTAAACGCCTCATTAAAGAACTTAAGGAATTACTGAATGCTGCAAAAAGTAAGTCAAATATATTTTAATATGATTTAACAAATATAAAATTTCTACAAAGTGGTGACAAATTTTGATGTAAATTTATTGTAGGAGTAAATATGATTAATATTTTATCATAATTTAACTTTTAAGTATTTTTTTTTTTTCATATTTCTTTTATTATATATCTAGAAGTTTATAGTGAAATTACAGTAGTATAAATAGTATTATTTTTGATATTGTTTAATTAAAAATTAAAACCATAGTCAGAGGAAAAATATACTAAGTTGAGAAAATTATGTGGTGTACTTTGATTTTCAATAAGTGTTCTTTAATAAAAAAAATATCAATATAAGGCTTTTTTTTGTGTTTGATTTTAGTGAAAATTAATTTTTACTTTTTTTTTTTTAACTAATTAACTTTGAGTTTGCAGTACTTTTAATTATTTTAACTTTTATTATTCCCAGTAGAAAAAAATCATATATTTTATATAACTTATAAAAGTTAATAGACTACATATTATAATTTTACTTGTAACTAAGTAGTTAGTATTCATTAAATATGCATAGCCTATTGTATACTAAGCATTTGTCATTTTAGTTTTTGTTGAATTGTAAGACTGTTAATCAAAGTTTAATTGTTATGCTAATTGTAATACAAGGTCATATACTTTTGTGTTATTTTAGTAAGTTTGTAAGTTAAAATATTTGAGAAGTTTATCACACTAATCACAACATTTATACTTATATTTTTCTTCTTCTTCTTCCTCGACTTAATCCCAAATATCTGGGGTCAGCCACCCTTTTCCTAAACTTTCACTTAACACGATCTCCCACATCAGCTGTCTTCATATCACAATCAATAGCATCCCTCCATCTCTTTTTTGGTCTGCCTCTACCTCTTCTTCCTTTAACATTAGTTTCTCTAACTGTTCTTACAGATTCGGTTTCTTCTCTCATCTTATCCACAATTGACGCTACACCTCTCTTATATGCTCAATCCTTATCCTATCTTCTCTAGTAACACCACTCATCCATCTAAGTATTCTCATCTCTGTTACACTCATTCTCTGCTCTTATTTCTTATCAACCGCCCAACACTCTAAACCATACATCATAGGCCTCACTACAGTCTTCTAGAATTTACCATTCAGCCTCATTGGAATTCGTTTATCACATAAGACGCCAGGCGCTTCTCTCCACTTAAACTAACCTCACTTTATCCTGTGTCTTACATCCTTGTCAAAACCACCGCTCTTTTGCACAACTTACCCTAAATACTTAAAATTTTCCACCTTTCCAATCACGTCCTCGCCTATATTCACTGATCTCCTCATTTCACCTTCTTCGTATTCTCCTTTGTCAAACTCGTACTCTATATAATCTGTCTTACTTCTACTTATTCTTAAACCCTTTTCTTCAAGAGCTGATCTGCACACCTCTAGCCTTTGATTAATTTTCTCCTATTAACACTATATCGTCAGCAAACAATTGTACTACTAGTATTCTATTTATTAAATTCTTTGAAAACATTACATTATATCAGTAATAAATTTGTTTAAAGGAATTCTTAGTTTTATTCTATAGTTTTATTCCATATTTGAAGAATAATAAAGATATCTGTTATTAAAATTTATTTTTATGTGAGATTTGAAAAATTTTAAATTAAGTTACATCTCTAATTAAACTTTTTTAATTATCTTCAGGATCAATTTGTTGATTGATTGTTAATAGGTCTATATCTTTATAAAATTTATTATGCATATTAAGTTTTGTCTAATTTTTTAAATAAAAATTAGGTAAAATATTTGTTTGAAAAAATGTTTATCAATATTATTTAACAAAGCAAAAAATATACTAATATTAAACAAATATCTAAAAAATAAGCTTAAAAACCTAAATTATAAAATTTTATTTAGTTTTCAAATTGATTTGTTTTTACCACATTCATATGCTTTTTATTAAAAAATGTATATTTTTTAAATTAATTTAAGTGATAAAAATGTTTTTCACTCAGTTTAACCTTCCTATAAAAATATAAGCAAACAATAACGTAAATAAAAACTATTATGTTGTATTAAAATTTAACTGATAATTTAAAAAAATCTCACTAACCCAAATTAAAATGTTATATTAATAATTAGTACTGTTGAATATTTGCAAACATTTATTGTCTCAAAATTAAATTAAATTTTGATATAATGCTAAGAAGATATTTTTCATTTCTAAATTAACAAATATTTAAAAAGACATTAAAATTATCTAACACGTACAAATCAAAAATTAATTTCTAATCAGCTTCAGATCAAAGCTAAAAACATTTTAAAACGTTAAAAAAAATGATTTTGGTTTAAAAATTAACAAAGCAAAAATTATTTTTATTTCATATGTGAAATTAATACGAATGTTTACATTTGATTATGTATACGTAAACTAGGAATATTAATGGCGTTAATAAAATTTAAAAAAAATTATATCGAATATTTTCTTTGTTTTGTTCCTATTTTATGAGGGAGTTACTACAAGAGCAGCTGCTCCATGTATCTTACTGTCTCTGTGCCATAGGCGCAAATGATTTTATGAAGTTGAGGGTGCTTAAGTTCCAAAAGCAAAACATTTTTATGCCTAATTATGTATAATATAATAAACATACATTTTTTATTACCACGTTTTTTTTTTTAACTATAATTGTTAAAAGCAAAACATATTAATATGTTTAAAGTTAAATAAATATATTCTACCAACGACATGGTACACTTGTAATATTTCAAAAAAAAATGTTAAAATTTCTGAAATATTGTCGCAAAAGTTGTTATCAACCAGTCATATTCTTGATTATTTTATAAGCTAATTAATTATTAATGTTTCTATTTGAAAAAATAAATTTGACGTCACCCTTATCAGGTATAAAGAATAATTATAAATAACTAACAAAGGCCAAAAAAAAAAATTCAAACAAATTTTGATACGGGTTTTTTTTATTATTATTTAGTTTCTCATTATTTTTTTGTGATTATGATTTTTCATTTTTACTTTGCGAAAATCAATGTATTCCAAAAGTTTATCATGGACTCACAAGATACAAAACTTTATCAATAGCTCAACAATTGACGACAGACGGAGCATTGAACAGACTTATCTTAAACACTTAAAAAGTATACAAATGTTTGATCAACTCATTTGTAGAGAAATATGATTTGTGGTACTCACATACCGCCATAAAAAAAACACTGATCTTCAACACACTCCCACNGAATAACTGGCAATGTCTGTCGGAAATCACCAGACAATAGTAAAACAGCACCACCGAATAGTTTGTCATTGCCATTAAAATCTTGTAAAGTTCTATGCAATGCTTCCAATGCATGTTTGTGGGCCATTGTACATTCATCCCAAATAATTATCGAACTGTTTCGCATTACTGTAGCCATTCCGCTTATTTTTTTTATGTTACATATTGCATATGGTTTATTATGAATGTCTAATGGCAGCTTGAGTGCTGAATGTGCCGTTCGCCCACCATCTAACAGAGTGGCCGCAATGCCCGACGTTGCAATTGCTAGAGCAATTTTTCCTTGCGATCGTATCTTTGCTAAGATAATAGATATTAAAAATGTCTTACCAGTTCCACCTGGTGCATCTAAGAAAAAGAAGCCACCTTGTTTAGCATCAACAGCCATCATAATTTGAGTATAAATATTTTTTTGTTGAGCTGTCATTAGAGGTTCATTATTTGTAACAAATGCAGCTAATTCAACGTTATTATATTGTTTTTCTCGCAGAACATCAGTGTTAACCAAGTCGATGGCCGGGCGATTAGGCGACGGCAAACCATAATGAGCAAGTGGTAAATTAGAAATTAGAATACATGAATCCTCAATCAACATTAATGCTTCGTTATACATTTCTGGCGTGTAATCTAGATCTTGATTTTGAGTTGTCTGTCTTATTCGGTGCAGAATATCTTCAGTCATATAGTTTTTGTATTTTTCCCATAAAGTCGATGATCGTGTTGGATAACATGTTGTCAAAATAATTACAAACAGTTGACGAATGGTATTTGGCGTGGATACTAACGCTGCGTCAGCAAGCGTGAGATCCCAATGATTGTCGTCTTCCAGCAATTTCAATACGCGACATGTATCTTGATATGAATTAAACACTCGACCGTTAACGGTGCGCAAAAATTCAAAAGATGTGGGTCCTGGAACATTGATTAACAACAAACGTAAAAAGAAACATTCACGTTGTTTTGGATGTACTGTGTAAAGTCGTCCTAATGTCTTGGCTTTTAATACACCGGGGATTGTTGGATGTGGTTCACCTTGCTTACGTGGCTCCCATTTTTTGCCTGATGTGTTCCATGTAAAATAACGTGGAACTTCTGTATACAATAGTGTGCGTGCGAACTGGCCAAAAACATCGGTTTTTTGACACAATGTGAAAAATTCAGTAAGTGTTGTTTTCGGTGGCTGAAGTGCTCGTTGGAAAATATTTTCTTTAGTGAAATATACACGTTGTCCGTTTTCAAGATGTACAGCAAGATGCTGCACAGCTGGCTCTTTATCGTGTACAGGAAAACTAAATATGCGCCAGATAGCTTCATTACTACTGATATATCTACCCATTTGGTACTGTGTTATTTCATCATTTTTATTTACATTTTGAACTTCGAATACTGCCAAATCATTGCCTTTGTTAACGTATTTGCAAATGTATTTTATAGACTTCACAGAACTACAAAACTCAACATTTATATGAGCTTTGTATGTTTTTGAAAGTAGTGGTGAGTATGGTACCACCCATTGATTATCGATTTCAACTTCGATAGCATTTGACATTCGCATCGTGAATGTGTGGCCACCATTCTCAGCGTTTCTACGTCGATACAATGNATGTATATTTTTTAAATTAATTTAAGTGATAAAAATGTTTTTCACTCAGTTTAACCTTCCTATAAAAATATAAGCAAACAATAACGTAAATAAAAACTATTATGTTGTATTAAAATTTAACTGATAATTTAAAAAAATCTCACTAACCCAAATTAAAATGTTATATTAATAATTAGTACTGTTGAATATTTGCAAACATTTATTGTCTCAAAATTAAATTAAATTTTGATATAATGCTAAGAAGATATTTTTCATTTCTAAATTAACAAATATTTAAAAAGACATTAAAATTATCTAACACGTACAAATCAAAAATTAATTTCTAATCAGCTTCAGATCAAAGCTAAAAACATTTTAAAACGTTAAAAAAAATGATTTTGGTTTAAAAATTAACAAAGCAAAAATTATTTTTATTTCATATGTGAAATTAATACGAATGTTTACATTTGATTATGTATACGTAAACTAGGAATATTAATGGCGTTAATAAAATTTAAAAAAAATTATATCGAATATTTTCTTTGTTTTGTTCCTATTTTATGAGGGAGTTACTACAAGAGCAGCTGCTCCATGTATCTTACTGTCTCTGTGCCATAGGCGCAAATGATTTTATGAAGTTGAGGGTGCTTAAGTTCCAAAAGCAAAACATTTTTATGCCTAATTATGTATAATATAATAAACATACATTTTTTATTACCACGTTTTTTTTTTTAACTATAATTGTTAAAAGCAAAACATATTAATATGTTTAAAGTTAAATAAATATATTCTACCAACGACATGGTACACTTGTAATATTTCAAAAAAAAATGTTAAAATTTCTGAAATATTGTCGCAAAAGTTGTTATCAACCAGTCATATTCTTGATTATTTTATAAGCTAATTAATTATTAATGTTTCTATTTGAAAAAATAAATTTGACGTCACCCTTATCAGGTATAAAGAATAATTATAAATAACTAACAAAGGCCAAAAAAAAAAATTCAAACAAATTTTGATACGGGTTTTTTTTATTATTATTTAGTTTCTCATTATTTTTTTGTGATTATGATTTTTCATTTTTACTTTGCGAAAATCAATGTATTCCAAAAGTTTATCATGGACTCACAAGATACAAAACTTTATCAATAGCTCAACAATTGACGACAGACGGAGCATTGAACAGACTTATCTTAAACACTTAAAAAGTATACAAATGTTTGATCAACTCATTTGTAGAGAAATATGATTTGTGGTACTCACATACCGCCATAAAAAAAACACTGATCTTCAACACACTCCCACTTTCGCAATGTTTGTCCAGCAGTTGCAAATCTCCGTTAAACTAATATAAAAATAAACCAATTCTCTATCTATTGCACCAGTCTATTCCGGTTCAAGCCCATACCTGGCTCGATCCACAGTTGACCCGAACCGGGTCGGGCTTATAATAAAAACAGTTGGACCCGATTTGTACGAATATAAAAATTATGTTACTGGTTTGGGTCTGATCGGGCTTAGAAATAATTTGTCTAGACTGAACTCGGCTCGAGTCGATATAAAATCTTGTGACTATTNATAAAAATAAACCAATTCTCTATCTATTGCACCAGTCTATTCCGGTTCAAGCCCATACCTGGCTCGATCCACAGTTGACCCGAACCGGGTCGGGCTTATAATAAAAACAGTTGGACCCGATTTGTACGAATATAAAAATTATGTTACTGGTTTGGGTCTGATCGGGCTTAGAAATAATTTGTCTAGACTGAACTCGGCTCGAGTCGATATAAAATCTTGTGACTATTTTCTTATTGATTATCATGATATCTGCAGTTTATTAATTAATTTATTATATTATATTTATATATATATATATATATATGGTAAAAAATCGAATGGGCTAGACTTAAAGGGCTTAAAATATATTCAACTAATAGGCCGGACCTGGAATCAACCAAAGTTAATTAACTAGTCAATGGGCCGGACGGGCGGAGCTTATTTCTGTAAATTGTTGGGCCGGCCCTGTCCTCGAGTAGAGCTGTGACACAGATATATATCCTAAAAACAAATGATATTCAGCTTATCAAATCGACATGGATATTTGTGATTTACTCGAACCCATCTTTTCGCTTTTCAAAATGCCGTTCCTCTTCATTAACCTGTTACCAGTGAATGGCGAAGCTCAGAGAATCGGCGGCTGCTTCGTCGTCACTCGATCCGTCCGCTGTTTTTGAATGTAGTCTAAGAATATTCGAAAAGCTCAGCGGGATAACCGCTCAGATAAAAAAGTGTGACGTGTTAAGTCATATTTGTCATGGAAGGCCAAATCGTTGCTACGCTTCTTCATCGTTCAGAGTTTCACATGATACAGGGTTTGATCATTTTTCTATTGTCAACTGTTGTTTTTATAAATTTGATGTTTTCTTTTTGTACACTTATGTACTAGAGCGGATTTAGAATATTTTTCTATTAATGGTGCTAAGAAAAGTGGTTTTTATTCGGACGGCAACTTAAATGAGTTAATTGTTTGAACCTTATTGTTTTGATCCGATATAAATATTTTTGGCTTACGACTTTTTTTCGATATGATCAACTCGTTCCAAGGGATTATTACCACTGGACCTACCCCTACTTATGTGGTATGTTTTTTAATTACATATTTCTTTTCTATTTGTGTAATTTCAATTGTTGTTCAGAGGTAGATGTGGATTTACATTTAAGTTTCTATGGTCACCAAAGACACAAACTTATTTGTTCCGCTTTTTTTCAAATAAAAAAATGTGAGTTTATATTATTAAGCTTAATAGACTCATTTATAAATAATATGCTACTAAATGATATTGCCGTATATATTGTTACTGAATAAATAAAAAAACAATTATCTATTTTACATTGAGATCATACAACATTATTTTGACTATAAATAATTTCATAAAAAGTTGCGTGTAAATGTTATTTTATATTTATGGAATATTCTTTAAAAATTAATTTTTATAGGTCTTTATGTACAAAAAATCCAATTGAATTGTGATGCGTTGAAAAGAAATATTTTTTTTTTAGCTTCGATGTGAAGCTGATAAAGCTTTAATTCTATTATGTGTTTATTTTACTTTATTTTTTTATTTGTTACTGTTAATTATAACAAAAATATTTCCTAATAAAATATTATTTTCATTTATTTAGATCTATCTCGAGCTCAACGTTTAGTCTCCAGTTCGTTGCAACAATTCGATTTCGAATGCATTGGCACTACCCAAACAGATGATGAGTTGGTAATTACACGGTCACTAGCTGAATTTGGTCGTCTCATTTCGTCCATTGAAGACGAAAGAGATAGAATGGTTAGTCGAAGACGTATAAAATACTTTTTGTTATTATTGAATATTGGATACTATAGGCCTGCTGATAACCTTGTATGCCAGTGAAAGTGTGACGACAAAAAGTATGACGAATTGTAGAGGCTTAACTGAGAAGAATGAATCTCACGGAATTTAAGATAATGTTGCCATTACGTTTTTTTTATTCTAGAAAATAGTAAATTCTTTTTGATTTCTTCATTTTTATTTTATAATCTATGCTGAAGAATATCATTTTGTTTTATCAGAAAGAAATACTTCAAAACTTTATTAAATATTTTCACTTGAAATGTAATAATAAATCATATTTTATCTTTTGATCAATTGCAATTTCATATGGTATAACCAAAAATATATATATAGTACCTTTTTTTATTTATTAGTTAAGTTAATTTCTCATAAGTTTTTATAAGAATATAAAATTCATATGATCCAATAATTTTTTATAAAATTTTAGATTTAATGCAAGATTTTCTACTTTCCTTTATAATTTAATTTATGATTTTATATTAATTTATTATATTTTACGGTATACCAAGAAAGGTTAATTTAAATTAAGAGAACTGCTCGGTGTCTAATATAATACTTTAGCTTTAAAATAATTATTATTAAAAAAAATGATTTACCATTATTTAAGTAACATTTAAAACATTTCAATGCTTGTAAAATTATTATTTTTATTTTTTTCATTATTTTCAGTTGGCTAGAGCTTATGACCAATTTATAATCCCTCTTGAAAATTTTAGGAAAGAACATATTGGTGGAGTAAAAGTAATTATTTTTTTTTATTATCTAATAATTAATAATTGAGTAATAAAATGTGTTAGTTTAGAGTACAATTATTATTTTTTTTATTTTAGGAGGGAAAAAAAAAATTTGAAAAACAAACTGCAAAATTTTGCCAAAGTCAAGAGAGACATTTAAATCTTTCTACAAAAAAACAAGATTCTGTTCTCCAAGAGGTGTATATAATATTTGAGTTTTTAAAATGACATTAATCATATTTAGGGTTGTATTTAGAGGGGACTAAGTGTACATGCCAGGTGGCAGGTTTTAAGTACTGAAGAAAACACTAGCTAACTATCTAATAATATAAATTACATAGTTAAAGCCTTTATTTTTAGCTCATTAAAAAAAAAAAAGCGATGTAGAGAATTTTTTTGATAAGCAAAATAATAAAGTAATTGTGGATGATATAATTGTGTATCTCAATAACAAAAACAGAAGAAATTATGAATTTCCAAACAAATATTGAATTAAATTTAATTTAAAACTAAAAAAAAAACCCCATCATAGTGAGGTCATGTATAAATTATAATTGACATTACAGTCATAAAAAAAAACGCTTCAATACGAATTTGTTAAATTTTACAATAATTTGTTGTAATTAATTTTTACAAAAATTTTGCTATTTTTTGTTTGTATAGATATAAGGTTTAAACAGTTAATTTTTAGTTTGATATTTAATATTATTTAATTTTAAATATTTTTAGGCAGATGCAACATTAGAAATGGAACAGAGGCATTTTTGCCAAGCAAGTTTAGAATATGTTTTTTTACTTCAAGAAGTGCAAGAAAGGAAAAAATTTGAATTTGTTGAAACCGTAAGAAATATTCATTTCTATTATTATATCAATATTTTAGTCAAAGATGCTATAGCCCCCATTAAACAGAGTAGACTTGGTGCTAATAAGAGTATATGAAAAGCAAATAAAAAGGTCCTTAACTCATTCCAAGCATAAAGTCTAGTAAAGCCAGTGTATCGTTTTACTTTGGCTTTGACAGCCAAACATATAGTATTTATGTGAAATTTTACTTAAGAAATAAAGAGCTTTAATAATTTTTCATTAAAAGTAGATTAGAGAAAAATTATAAGTTTCTTTTAGTATCTTTTTGGAGAATAAGTAATGACTTTATGTTTAACTCTTACATCACTATAAAAAAGACAGCCTGTTTTATTTAAAGTAATCTATAATTTTTTTTATGCTTTATTTTATGGAAAAATGTATTTATTCTATTATTCTATAATATAATATGAATAATAAATTTTATAATATTTCAGATGTTAGGCTTTATGTTAAGTTGGCTGACTTTTTACCATGAAGGACATGAAGTTAATGAAGACTTTAAGCCTTATATGCGAGAACTACAATTTCGAATTCAAAAAGTAATATATTAAAATTTCTAATTTTTAACAATTTTTCAAATTTTTTATGTGTTTGTGTGTTTGTTTTGCTACTAATATCAGACTAGAGATAATTTTAACGAAACTCGAGATAAAACTGAATCTCTTATGAGAAAAATGCTTGAAATGAGACAATCTGTAAGTTTTCTTGTTTGAATTACTTAACATTTTTTCAATGCTAACCTAATTTAAAAAAAAAACTAATCATTTATTTTTAGAAATTCTTAGAAACTAACACTAGTAGTCAAAAAGTAACTAGAGAGGGCTACTTGTTTCTTCTAGAAAAAAGTAAGTAAATTTTAGATTAGTAATATCTAATCTATTTACCTTTATAATTAAAAAAACATTTTAGAATTACCAGGATTTAAAAATACTGAAAAAGCCACAAAATGGTTACAAAATAAATCATTAGGAGGTAAAATTAATTAAAGTTAATATTGAATTAGAGAAAAATTAAAAAAAAATACTTTTAGATGCTTTAAGTACAACTACGTGGACCAAACATTATTGCATTTACCATAGGGAAACCAAAGAATTTGAAATGATAACATTTAATCAACTTAATGGAAAATTTGTAAGTTTTTTTATGATATTTTTTATTTTAATATCTAATAATTTTTGAAAATATAGAACACATCTGAAAAAATGATAATTTCTTCATGTATTCGAAGAATGTCAGATTCTATTGATAAAAGGTTTTGTTTTGATCTTTACAGTGATGATAAGTAAGTATTGTTAATTTTTATAATTTATTTATAATTATAAACTTTAAATTGTAATGATTATAATTAGACCTGGAGTTATTTATACATTTCAAGCATTATCAGAAGAAGATCGAAAATTATGGATGGATGTCATGGATGGCAAAGAACCTGTAATATAAATATATTATTATCTACACCTCAAAACTAACTTAATTATTGATCAATTGACTGATTATTTTTTACAGGAATATGGAGTACCATCTATCAGTTCTTTAAATAGTGATAACAATATATTTTTGGATGATGCTGGCTTTAATTTTGTTAACAAATGTATTCAAGCTATTGAATCACGTGGTAAGAAATTTTAAAATATTGATGTCTAGTATGCATTTTTAACTTGTAATTTTAAATATTATAATAAGGCTTAGATGAACAAGGTTTGTACAGAGTTGGTGGAGTAAGTTCTAAAATTCAAAAACTATTAGCAATGGGATTAGACCGTCGAAAAACAACAAATTGCTTGAATTCACTTAATTTTCTTGATGATACTATTGAATGGGAAACCAAGACAATTACCAGTGCTCTAAAATTATTTTTAAGAAATTTGCCTGAACCACTTATGACTTTTAAGTATCATAATTCATTTATTTCTGCTGCTAGTAAGTTATAAATTAAAAATTAATTAACAGTTCATAATTATTCTACATTTTTAGAACAGGAGGTTAGGTTAAAAAGAATAAATGATGTCCATATATTACTACATAAAATACCTAAACCAAATTTCAGTATGTTGGAAGTTCTATTAAAACATTTGTGCAAGTAAGAAATTCTACAAAATTTGATTAAAAGTATGAAGCATTTTTTGTAACTTATTTAAAATGTTATGTTAGTGTTGTAACTCACAGCGATCAAAATTTAATGACCGTTAGTAATATTGCTGTATGTTTTGGACCAACACTTATGAGGCCTGAACGAGAAACTGTTGCTGCTATAATGGATATTAAATTTTGTAATGTAGTAGTTGAAATTCTTATTGAAAACTTCACAAAAGTAATACTTTAGAACTAATGCATATTCATGTCATAATTTTAACTTATTTTTTTTTTTAGTTGTTTAAAAACGAACCTGATTTAGAAATGGAATATGAACCTGTACCAGGACCACAACAACCTTCATCATCACAAAAACTGAAGTATTTACCTATTACTCCAGTAGTTACTCATGTAAGTATTGATTTTGAAAATATAAGAAATAAATTATAAATCAAATATTATTTTCTTTTAAGGCGATTATAAAATCATATTATGATGGACCAATGCTTAGTACAAGTTTACAAAATGTATCTCCAAATATTTCATCTCATAATACACCAATATCTAATCCTAATAGAGTAAGTTATTTATATTTTTAATTTTATTACAGATTTAAGGCCATTAAAAAAGTTATTTCCATACATCTTGTATCAATTAAACATTAATAATGTAATACATAAGGAAATTTATAATTTTTGATAAATCAAAAAAAACTAAAGTTCCAAAAAAAGTACCATAAAATTTAGTGTTAAATTTATTTTACTAGCCTTAAATAAATATTCCCAAATACTATATAAAACAAATATATCATTTTCTCTAGAATAGGAAATTAACTTCTAAAGAAAGACTTGCTCTTAAAAATTTTAATTTTTCCATACTGTTAAATATACTACTTTGTGTGACATTGTTTTTTCCTTTTCCTTTAGTAATTAAGATTTCATAATAATAATTGTAAATTTAAATAAACCTTACAAAAACAACGATTTACCACTTTTAGCATTAAACATTAATTTTGTCATTCAATTTCACTTTTGTTTTGATTAAAAGAAACATATACCACTTTGTTATTTTTAAAATCAATCTCTCGTTTATTGTTTTTATTATCACTGCATTATTGTATTGATTGCTGTTACAGTATTTTGTTTTGCTCACATGTATTATATATAATATTATATAATATATTATATTATATATAAGTTGTCTGTACTGACTAATTTTTTTTTTGTAAATTCTAAATAAAAAAATGTTTAATTCAAACATAAAATCTATAATCTATTATTATTTTTAGTTATAATGTTAAAGAGTATAAGTTACATTAAAATATTCCTTTTTATCTAAGTAAAAAATAGTTTTTTGAAATATTTTAAATGTATTCTTATATTAGTACATTTATATCAATAATTGTTAATTGCAGTTATTGTTGTAAATTAAACTAAAGGTTTTTAAAATTTGTATTTTATTAGTCGAGTCTCACGTCATCTACTTCAACTGCCATGTCAGAATCTAACATACATACACTTACTACATATAGTAAACCAATAGTTCATTCAAGTCCAAATAAAAATTATTATTATTCTGCCGACTCTCAAAATACAACTAATTCTAGTTCCAGTAGTTCAAATGAATCAGTATGTTCAGTGTATTCTTTAGAAAATCCTCCTGTACAACTTTCAAGAGCACCTCAAAAGTCCAAAAGAAGCATTAAAATGGGTGTGCATTATGCTTCAAGTTATAGACCTCAAGACACTGTGTAAGTTGAAATAAAATTTTTGTTATTTGATCATACTAATATATTAATTAATATTATTTAAAAAATTAGTAATGAAAAATTTTTCATGTAAACTAACAATAATCATTTATCATTACTTAGTATAAAACACTAATATTTTATTTTTATTTTCTGGTTTTGGAAAATAAGTGGCAATCATTTAATGTCACTAATTGGTGGTCGCACAAGTCCTCCATCGCTCTTAACATTAAGGTTAATTATTTTTTAATCAACTTTATTACATTTCACTAGAAGCTTTTTTTTATAGTTTTATTTTATTTTATTTTTTGACATTACAACAATTTATAATTAATGTAACAATATATTTAATTTATATAGTAGTTCATTAATGTGTGTGAAATAGTTTGTTTCAGATTCAAATTTTTTTTTTTTATAACCCTACGGTACTTTTTATTGAGACAATCATAAATCTTAATCAATGCAATTAAATCATTATCAAAATTATTAATATACGATTTTACTAATGGGATTTACACTTCCATTGAAGTGGTCCCTAACTTAGTCTAATAATAATAAATAATAATATTTAAACTGTAAAGTAAATATTTATAAATTTAAACTAAGTCATATGGCTTGACGCGTTTTAAACGTCTTAGGTCATTGGAATTGTCGAATAGTTGAATGAATTGCCGCTATATTTTCATGGTTTTCCAACCTTATTATATGCTTACGTGCAGACCTAGTGACTTCATCTGCTACGGTTGGTTACATCATATCTCGATGAATTACTTCATTTCTATCGAATCTGTAGCCGCGACGATTGTACGACTTGCGTTATTTCGACAACGTTGTATAACATCTATGTTGGACTTACTGGCACCACCCACAATTGTTGAATTCTATAAGGTTTTACGATCGCTACGTATAACAGACGTTCTCTAGTGATAGCTCAGAATTTTTTCCAACTAACCAATAGAGTCCGCGCATTTTATTCTTTATCTGCAGTCTTTTCTGGCGTACATGATGTTTCCAGATGAGGCGGCAGTCAAGGTGCATTCACAGATATTTAGCCGAATCTCTTTGTGGGATTATATGTCGTTCGGTTGAATAACATGTTCTAAATGAAGTGCATATGCTTCTGCTTTGTCCAAATCAGTACGCGCCCACGTACCATCTTCCTTACGAATAGGAGGTACATAAGCTCGAGGTCTTTTAATTTTTCTTGTAGTTTTTCATAAAGAATAATTGCTAAAAACTGTAGTAGATAGTCCGCTTAAATATGACTTAAATATGTTTCGTTTTTAACTTCTTTGATTTTCTCACATAGTGCTCAGGCACGTAGCCAGAAAATGTTTATTGGAGGTGCCAACAATTTTGGGCCCTTGTATCATTTTCTATAATTTGTTCCCTATGAAAAGATTGTGGGGGGGCTCCGTCCACTCCTTAGACAGTATCCCTACTATGAATCTTACAAGTTCAAAATTTTACCATTGGTTGGTTAAAAACAAATTGTTTTCGTATAAAGTATACTAATTAATACAGTATTATAAAAAATGGATAGTACCTGTAATAAAAAAAAAAAAATACTTTCATCTTCACTATCGGGATGAATTTTTCATATTGTGAAAAATTAATAAAATAATGATGTGAACATAAGCTGATTTAATTTTTCAACTTTTAAGCTATTAAGAAAAAATAATTTACACCTAAATACTAATAACAAATAAGTTATAAATAATTTTTAAAATAAATATAAATTATAAACAATGTAAAATTTATTTTATTTAAAATTAAAAACAATTCCTGCTTTTTTTTAGTCATATTTTTATTACTATTATTTAAACCATGCAAATAACAAATTAACAAAAACAAATAAATTACCTATTGTAACAACTAAATTATAAAAAAAGAAACAGATTAAAGATAAGATTTATCAAAAAAATTTTCATAGAGTATTACTCTATCGAATTTTGAACTAGATTCTAATCAATGCAGATACATGGTAGTTTGTTATCATTTGTTGGACCAGAGTTAAAAAAAATTTACCTACATCTCGTTTGGAGTAACTGCTATTCCATTTATTATTACGTCTAGAACGTTATCTTTTTCAAATAACGTTTTCTATGAATATAAAAATGAAAATACAGCTATAATAATAACTGTATTACCCAATAATAATCACAAATCAATAATAATTTCAATGTAAATAAGGCCTAGCACGTTTTTGATAATTCGTAAAAATAATTGAATTTTAAATTGTGGGGGGGGGGCCGACCCTAAGTCATATTAAATCTAAGGGGAGCCAAGCCCACCCATGTCTACGTGCCTGATAGTGCTTTGCATAAACGATTCCATTCAGTTTTATCTGCTAAATGATGGGTAGTGTACCGTTTTCTTCTAGCTCTGCGTTTTTACTTAATAAGTTCTTTTATTTCCACTGGATAAGTTGTCTCGTGATATCTGTCTTTACAGGTTTCTAAAGTAGCTTTTTTTGCCGCTTTGACAATATCATTAGTTAGTTTATGTACTACTGTTTCTATGTCACTTGCTGTTTTCAACTGTACGGAAAGTGTGATAGTTTTTTCTAGGGCATTCTGAAAATATCCCAGTCTGTCTGTTTATTTGTGATGAAAATTTTCCGCTTTTTTAATATGACATTCGAACTTATTGTCAATAACACAGGAATGTGATCATACGACAAGTCTACCAGCTCTTCTGCTTGAACATAATTAGAAGAGATACCTTTAATTACGAAGAAGTGTAAAAGATCAGGATTTTTATTTGAGTCACTTGGGCAGTAAGTTGGTTTTCTAGTAGAAATAAACTCAGCTTTGTTGTAATTAGCTGATTTTAATGGTGCACGTCCTTTAGGGGTAATAAATCTTGATCCGTAATGGGTATGTTTGGCGTTATAATCACCACCTACAATATATATAATAAAACAATAAAACAGTTGCCAAGAGTTTGGAAAAACTCATTGAATTTATTGAAGTCGGCGCCACCTTGAAGTGGAAAATAAATTGCCAAAACTAAGAAATCATTACTCTCATTAATGACTCTGACATTTGTTACTTGTATGTGCATTGTTGAATACTTTTCAAGCTCAAAATGCTTTATGCATTGTTTTATAATAACTGCTGTACCACCACGTGCTCTACTGCTTGATCGTAAGGTAGTATAGATATTGTAATTTTTTATTTTCAAAAAAGTCCATGGGGTGAAATGTATTTCTGAAATAAGAGCTATGTCAATGTTCTCATTACTTTAAAATTCTTCGAGTTCTTGTTTACACTATACTAGCCCATTGTGTACAAGCTATGATACGTAATGTATGATTCATTTCTTCTTTTTGTTTTGATTGTTAGACTTAAACTGGTTACTTTCTACCTTATCAAGTCTACTTGTTATATTTGTAAGGGCTGATAAAATTTCCATTAGAACTACTAACTATTTTAGCCTAGGAAACAACCGATGTAACAGTTTTAGCCGGTTTCTGTTGAAAACGTTGCACTGCGGTGTTTTTTTTCTTCTGCTTTCTTGTAAGCTGAACAGCCTTTCCAATTTGCGGCGTAGGTTTCTCCGCAATTGGCGAATTCGATTTCGATTTTTTCGGTTTTGGTCAATCTTCTGTTTTATGTTCTTCGCCACATTTTACACAGATAGATTTTTTGTGACAATAATTTTGAGTATGTTCAAAGGCTTGGAAATTTTTACACTGTGGTACTCCTTCTTTTTTTCTTCGGAGGTTCTACTTTTATTTTATGATAACATAAACTATTTAAGTCGTATATATCTTTATTGTTATCTCGAGGATCTAGGTCTACAAAAAATAACGGTAATTTTATTATTTTTCACTATTTTTGTCACTAGGATTTATTTTTCTCCTACTTTGGATGTTAGTGACATCACTTGCATAATGGCCATTATCTGCTTGGGCTCTTTTAATTTCACATACTTCAGTGTCAGTGTGTAATCCTCTGATTACAATACGAAACTTTTTTATTTTTAATTGATAACTGTGATACTCAATTTTATTTTTTTCAAGTACTTTTAGAGTACGTCTGAACTGGTGTTCATCGCCAGTCTTAATTTTAATATCGCCGTTAGCAATAGTTTCTAACTGTTGCTCATGACCAATGGCTTCTTCGCGAGTTAAATTAGAAAATCGTTGATATTTTTAACACCATTGGCAGTTATTGGAGATGGTTTATAAATTTTTGGCGCAAGTTTTATTAAAATTTTTTCTATTTCTTTTACTTGTTTTTTTCGATAAACTACGTGAAGCATATGAGCTATAGCCCGGTTTATCACTAATAAAATCTGAAAACAGCCAGTTGTCACTGGGAGTTAAATCTGGAGAATATGGTGGATGAGAAAGCAATTCGATCTTTAATTCACGTAGTTTTGCCATTGTATTTTTTGAATTGTGACACAACGCGTTGTCTTGAAGAAACAAACATTTTTTTTTTTTTGCCATATGCGGTCATTTATTTGTAATTTCGGCCTTCGAACGCTTCAATAATGCTATATAATATTGACTGTTAATAGTATTTTCCTTATCAGGGTAGTCAATGAATATTATACCTTGCTTATCCCAAAATACTGACGCCATAACCTTTTCAGCTGATTATTGTGCTTTCGGGCGCTTTGGACGAGGTTCACCGGTTACTGTCCACTCAGATGACGATCTTTTTGATTCTGGAGTGAAGTTATGGATCTATGTTTCGTCCATTGTGACGTATCGATGCAAAAATTCTGGTTTATTGCGTTTGAACATGGCCAAACACCGCTTAGAATCATCAACACGTTGTTTTTGCTCAACAGTGAGCAAACGCGGCACCCACTTTGAACAGAGCTTTCTCGTGGACAAATGCTCATGCAATATAAAGTCAACGCGTTCTTTTGATATCTTTATGATGTCAGCTAACTCACGCAACTTCACCAATTAAAAATGAGATTAATTCCAAAATACTAGCGCCCTCTATGTGTTAGATCCGGGATTTTTCAGCCCATGTTTTATGAAGTTGCATCTAATCTGATAAAATCATCTGTAATTTTTAACATACTCTCTCATTTTAGTGCCTATCTAATGAAAAATTAAAATGAAGATTATTAAATCCCTTTATTAATTCTGAACACAGTATTCTGATGAATTCCTTTTAAATCTCCACATACAGTTTTAATAATATTACACAAATATGTTTTTAAATTTAAAAAATAAAAATTTACCCGACCAAACCAAAATGGTATTAGTTGGGTATTGTTTTTTAATTTATCTATCTGGAAATTTGATTTAGCATTAAAACGAAGGGAAGTCAATTTTGTAAAACAATGGAAATAGGCAATCTGCCATTATTTCTTTAAGCAATAGCTATCAGTTCTAACAAAGTGTGAAGTTATTATTTTTGGAAAATGATAACGTTTAAAAAAATGATTTACATTACATAGTTCAAACGGTCATCAACATTACAAAGATACCCTCCTTGCACATTATTATGCACATCACCTATTACACATAATGTTGATGTGGTGGAAATCTACCACATAAATTTATGTATCCCTTAACTAGCTTGATCTCCCATAAGAATGCACATGGGCAAGATTTGATTTCTAATCATTTCTTTTGATATTTGTTATTTTTTTGTAATCAATTGTAATTATAGCTTTAGTATACTGCTTATGACTTCATAGATATTTTAGTGCATTTTTTGTTTTTAGTAATTAAATAATATGCAATTTATAGTTATATATTATACAACCATAACTATATTTCAATTATAATTATAATAATATAAAGTATAAAATGTTACACACATTGTGTGTAACAATTTTTTTTTCTTTTTCTTTTTTTAGAAGAGTTCGTACTTTATATGCCTGTCTTGGGGAAAATGATGGTGAATTGTCTTTTGAACCAAACCAAATTATCACAAATGGTATAATTTTAATACAAAATTCATTAGTTTATAAAAATGTAAACATTTAAAACAACACTTGTATTTTAGTTCGACCCTCTTGTGAACCAGGTTGGCTTGAAGGAACATTAAATGGCAAAACAGGGTTAGTTCCAGAAAACTATGTTGAGCTTTTGCCATGAAAAGACACATTCATACCAAATATAAGTTACTTTTTATAAGTGAACAAGTTTAACATTCAATGCTTCAGTACAAAAAAAGTGTATATTTGTTTCATTTCTTTGTTATTTCTTTTTGTTATTTTATTGGGCCTACAAATCATTTGTTAATGTGCGCACTAATGAACAGAGTTACCAAAGAACATTTAAATAATATCTTATCAATTATTGATCTTTTAATTAATTTATTTTATCTTTACAATGCATTTGTACATCACTAAAGTAATATTAATTGATCTCAAATTTTTTTTTTTTTTTTTTAAGAACTATTGGTATTACCTATTAAGTTAACAATTTACTTTTTCTCGGCCCAATATGCTGTTTTTTTTTATTGACAATATCTTTATGATCTTTGCATAACTATCTGATTTTTCACTATTATTAACTAGTAATTTTTCCCCCTTTTTTAGCCATATAATCTTACCATTATGTTCTGATTTTAAATTATAAATTAAATATTTTTGTATTGTGTGATGTATTTATCACTATTAATCATAGTTCATATAATAAATATATTTACTGTGTAATATATTATGACTGAAACGCAAAATTTCCATTAATATTAAATAGTTTATTTTTCTTTATTTAAATATTAATAATAAATGTCAATTTAATTTGACATATCTTACACAAAATTTTTTTTTATATTGATGACTGGGAATTTGACACAACTGTTTTCATTCCTTCTTCAATAACACTAAGACATGATCTCCAACTAAAGAATGAATCTCTAAGCATTTGCCAACGTTGTTTACTGAATGTTCGATACATTGTACTTGAAATATTAACTTTTTTTGCTGCTTGATCCATACGACCACGCACAAGCTTAGTTCCAAATACTAAAATTTATAATTTATTATTTATTACAATTGTAATTTACAATTATAATATTACAACTTACATTCAAGCAAAAATGGCTCAACTTGATCCAAAGTTATTTGTACTTGTTGTTGAATTGTTTCAAATGATATAATGCTTGAATCTTCTGCTAAACTCATAACAGTTAATAATTTCATTTTGTGAATATTTGCTTGGTGGTCCAGTCCTAAAAAAAAATTATTTATTAGCCAATTCAAAGAACATAATTCTCGGCGATTTAAAATAATAAAATAATTATGATAATTCTAAAATAATTAAAATATTATAATTAATCATTAATGTTTAGTATATTATTAAAGAATTACTAAAAATATTTTCTTAAATATAACTAAATTCTAAAAACAATAAAATAAATTATAATCTTCAGAAAATTTTTAAAATACATATGATAATCTCAAAAAGTGTATTACTTATCAATATAAAAATTGACTATAAACAATTGAATATAAAAAATTATTTTATGTTAAAATTTGACTTAGTTCTCATCTGGCTGAATTTGACATATTGCAAAAATATTCTTTTAAATAAAAGATTTTTGATATATATTGATGAAATATAAAAAATAATAATATGATTATATAATCATAAATAAGTCATTTTTTAAATAAAATTACAATATTTAATCGTTATCAGCATGGCCATTTGGAAAAAAAATTAGGGAAGAGGTTAATAATGATTTTTATATTTGTTATTTAATATTGAACTACTTAAAACTTAAACTGATAAAATACAAATTTTAAATACACTACCTAATGATTTAATTAAATCTTTATGGCCTTTATAAAAATCTAAGTAGTTAGTTAAACTACCAGACACAAATATATTTAACAATTCATAAATAGGAGTGTTTTGTAAAGTAACAACAGGAGCCAAACTCAGCAATGGTTCAAATAAAAATGTTTTTGGATCAGCAATTGCAGAAACAATACATCTTTTAGCATCATCTTTAGCTTGTTTTCCATCATCAGCAGTATAATTTCGAAGAAGTTCAACCATAACTTCTGCTGCCAATTCACTAAAAATACAGTTATATTAACTGATGTAGTTTTAGAAAAATTATTAAAATAAATACCTGTGACTATTTTCTATTAAAGCACTATGCAATTGCCTAAGAAGAGTTTGCTTTTGCTTTTTTGTATGGGTTATAGAAAGAAGTGATTTATTTAATTTGTCAATTCCTTCATAAACTAATAAAAGTTGTTTAGTCCGTTTAGCAACTTCAATTATATCAGTGTACAATTGAAAACGAGCTGGTAATTTTGGATCAACAGTTCCATACAGTAACCATAAACTAAGAAAAAAATTAAGTTAAAAAAAATATAATTTATAATAATAAAAATAAATTACGTTTTTAAAATAGTAACACTGTATCGTTCTTCATCAGATTTTGATAATTTTTGACTGAATAAAGTAACTAATTTACTCTCTATTTCCAATGTACCAATACCAATAATTACAGAAACAATTGAACATAGAAAACTTTCAATATCAGCATCAGACAAATCTGATTTTAAACAAACATCACATTTAGATATAATTTCTTGCATATCATCATCAATATTTTCAGGATTTTTTTCTTGTAAAGTGGCACCAATACTACGTAAATATGATCTTAATTCCACAGCCTAAATTTAATGAAAATTTTTATACGGTATTTAATTTCATTAACTTATCTATCTAGTAAATAATTTAAGTTTGAACCTGGGTTTAAGGGAATATTATTAAATAATAATTAATAACTTTTTAATCCTATTATTATTTTATTTTTTCCACTGTAAACCGCACTTATAAATATTATATGTTATAATTTTTTAGTAGGAATAAAAACAATAAATATATAGAAACATTACAATTAATTATTCATAACTGTACATTGTAGGTAGTCTTTACCTGTTCTTCGCGAGATAATTCAATAAATGTTGGAGGACCAGCCATAATGATGTATAAATTCTACAAATAATTCCAAAATCACTAATATTCCCTTAAAGATAGAATTTCAGAACTTTTACACCTCTCAGCGACACCGAGTTGATTAGATTTGTTTTCTTAAAAAATATTTTTGGTTATGAATCATGATATAATTGTGCTATTTGTTTACGAAACTATTTCGTTTTCTAACCTCAATTAAATGATAACAATATGATAATTCTATACACGCGTTGATATATTAATTTAATAATAATTGTTATTGCGAATTATGGTATTTTTTTAAAATTGTAGACATGATTAACTTTTCATTATTTCTTTCATGAATAACATTAAACAAACTATAAGTCAATAGTTTATTTACAAATTACGAATACATTTTGGGCCTTATAAAAAGTTCTTGTGACATGTTACTAACTTCAGTATGCTCGTTTTCCCTATCTAAATAAGTAAATAATAAAAAAAAATACATGAACCTACTGCTACCTAGTCTATAATATTCAGCACAATATCATTGTATGAAAATTCATTTTTAACAATTTTAAAACAATTGAAGTCAAATGATATGCGCCATGAGATGGAAGAGTAAACGAGTTACAGCTAGTTGTTACTGTTGAATCATTAACTACTCTAAGTAGGTCATTAAGTAGTTTTAATATCACCTTTTTAACTGCTAATTATTAGTATAGATAAGTGTAAAGTCGTTACTTATTTTTGCAGTTCAACCTATAATAAATCTCATTACCGAGTGAGTGTCATTCACAAATAATAATGTAGTTTTTACAGTTTATTACTAGTATAAAATGGGGCAAACATTGTCAGAACCAATTACTACCAAACACACTGAAAGTTGTCAAAACCAGTATTTAAAAGTTGGTTCCAGCTCCATGCAAGGATGGAGGATTAATATGGAAGATTCACATACCCATATTTTGGCTCTCCCTGATGATCCAAGTGCTGCATTTTTTGGTGTTTACGATGGACATGGTGGTAATTGACTTAAATCAATATTTTTCTGAAGCGATATTATATTATTTAATTACAATAAAAGAAGTGTATCATAAGAAATTGTTCAACAGTAATTATATCTAACTTAAAAATATCTGAACTATATGTTCATATTCCATTGATCTGAAAACTAAAACTTAAAAATATGTTTTGCAAATATTAAATGTATTGACTTGAAAACCAATTAGTTCTCAAGATTTTTTTAATTAAATACTTAAAAATTACTCAAATATTATGTGAATATTTTAAAATTATAATATTTAATATTTCTTCAAATAATTACCTATTATTTTAATTTTTATGTTACATTAATACTATACAACATGCACTAAATCATACATTTATAATGAACTTATAATTTTAACTATTTAAAACATAACTTGATATCAAAAAAAATTTTTATTTAAACTTTAATGTTAAAAAACATTATTAATCATGCATGAATGTATTTTAAATATTTACATGTGTAATAAAAATAACTTCTTACATCAATAAAATAGATTCTACATATATTTATACATGCCTCAATTGACATGTAACTTAATAAAAGAAATAATGATATTAATTATTCAGTCATCATGACTTATTATATACTTCACATTTTATTGATCAATACAATATTATTTTATACAAATTATTTATGATACAAATATAAAATTTTATTTTTTTCTAGGAGCAAGAATTGCACAATACGCTGGAAAACATTTGCATAAGTTTATCACCAAACGACCTGAATATCAAGAAAACAAAATTATTGAAGCCTTACAATTAGTAATTTTATTTATTTTTTATTGTTAATTAAAATCATTTTTTTTATATATAAATATTATAATATAACTATGACTTACTTTTTAAATCAGGGTTTTATGGATATGGACACAGCTATGGCAGAAGATGAATTACTGAAAGATGAACTTGCTGGATCTACTGCTGTTGTTGTTTTAGTTAAAGATAATACTCTCTATTGTGTAAGTTATCATCCGATGTAATACGTATGAATTTATATTTATTGTAGTATTGCAAAATACTACAATACATAAAATTCTTTAATTTTTTTATCTCATTTAGGCTAATGTTGGAGATTCTAGAGCTATAGCTTCAGTTAAAGGAGTAGTTGAACCACTTTCATATGATCATAAACCAAACAATGAGCTAGAAACCAAAAGAATTGAAGCTGCTGGCGGGTGGGTCATGTTTAACAGGGTGAATGGCAATTTGGCTTTATCTAGAGCGTTGGGAGATTATATTTTTAAAAAAAATGACCAAAAAAAACTAGACGAACAAATAGTAATTGGTAAGTATTAATAAGTAAGTAATAAGTATTAATTATGACAAAACTTTGATGTTTATTACGTTTAAATAATTGTGATTATATATAATTTTGAAATTAAAATTAAAATTTTTTTTTTTATCTACTTGTAACTTTCTTAACAAAATATAATGAAAGTTTTTACACAATTACATGTATACATATTCAAGAAACTAACATTAAAAATAAAAATAATTTTTAGCATGGCCAGATATTGAAATTAAACAAGTTACTAGTGATTTGGAATTCATAGTATTGGCTTGTGATGGTATATGGGACGTCATGACAAATGAGGTAAAACATGTGTACTTTAACAAACCTACTTTTATAATATACTATATAACTGTGTCAATAACAATTGTTATAAAATAACAATAAACAAACAACTCCACATTTTTTTACTTTTTGATAGAATATTATGTCAAAAAATGCTTAATGTAATGATGTAACAAATAGATACATCTAATAATTTATCATTGAGTTATAGTGAAAAAGTAAGTTCTTTTTTGCTGTGTTTAAATGTATAGTAAATACATTCTTGGGTTTTTCTGGAAAATTTTTTTAAAAAGTTGTCATGTTTTTGCAAGGACCCTTCTTTTGTATAACATTTTAAATGAATGTTTTGTAAAAATAAATTCTAAGTTTTAAAAGTTCATTTTTGTCTATTATTGCTGCTGCACTAAATTATAAAATATTATTACGTTATAAAAAAAAATATTTTAATTTTGGAACAAAGTATTTTTTTAAAAATATTTTATGTTATAACTAAAAATGTGTATCAAACTTATATTTGTTATAAAAGATTTATTTATTCATTTTTTTAATCTTTCTATTACCCAGTGAAGATGATTGCGACCTATTCTAATAGGAAATTTCTTTACCCTGTATACTCTGGAATGGGTAGTCAGTCTCTCAGAGAGAGAAAGAAAGATAACAATTACAATCACTATACTCATTAACTCGTTAAATAAATGAAGCCTGTGACCGAGTCTCGAAAACCAAAACAGTGCACATCAGTCACTGTCCCTCAAAGAAATGGAATTATTAAATAAATTGATATTTATCCTTGGAATTTTACTATAAAATTATGATTTAGCTACTTTTTGTTTAATTGTTTCATGTTTGTCCAGTTATATTCAAACAAATTAATATACTTTTCTTATTGTTTTGGTGTCACTCATTATTAGTTTTTTGCAAATTTAAATAATTGTCAGCGGTAAATATTTATTATAAGTAATGTGCTATATTATTAAAATTAAATTAAGCAATTTTATTTAAATTTTTATTTATGAAAATAGGAAGTAGTTGAATTTGTTCGATTCCGTGTTGGTACTGGAATGGAGCCTGAAGATATATGTGAAGATCTAATGACACGATGCCTAGCACCTAATGGACAAATGGGTGGGCTTGGCTGTGATAATATGACAGTCGTAATTGTATGTTTTTTAGGTGACCGTACATGGAAAGAACTTCAAATTCGGTGTTCTACTCCACTAGAAGAAAAGCAAATAAGCCCTAAAAGTTCACCAAATCTTAGTCCCAAATCTAAACACTAATATTTTCTTTAGCATTGTTTAATACTCTTATTATATATTCTGATTCCCATTCATCTTTTTCAGGCAATACAATTAATTTTATAATACATGTATATAATAGCACTGGGATGTATTTTTTTTTAATGATTTGTGTCATATATTTTATTTAACTTTTTTTTTTTTAATTAAATCTTTTTTTTCATGTAGGTAAGAATTAATACTGGATTACCCTATTGAATCCCAAGTCATTTTGTATTTGTATAAGTTTATATATATATATATATATATATAAATAATTTGAGATGAAAAACTAATACCTAATGAAACACTAATAATGTATATAACATTTTCTTGTAACACTAGTCCATCCAGAATTTTAGAGGATGATGATACTTTTTAGAGAGTGAGTTTAAAACAAAATTATACGTGATTACAAATATAGTGTAAAATGTTATGTAATTTTAAATAAAATAATTGTACAATCAGACATTTAGATTTTAGCGCCCGAAGGACTGGTCGTATTATAATTTTTGTGGATGAATATTAATAAAATAATAGTACTACTTGTACCTGTTGAACTGATTAAAGATATTATTTTTTTTATCCTTTATAAAATTTTCATGTATCAGCTAAAAGTAAACTCATAATACATGTTTTTAACAATTTTTTTGTTCACAAAATTTTTTACTCTACGGTAAAAATTTATTATAGACACTAGAACCAACAAAATACAAATACTTCTTTTTTTTCTAAAATTTTATCATAATACATACAAATTTATATAATATAGTTTTTTACCAATAATTTTAATTAATGATCTCTATAATACATGTATTTTAACACACAGGTGCTTAGGTATTTATCAAAACTGTGTTAAAGACGCGTGTATTTAAAACCATGTACTTGTGTGCTTAAGAAAGTAATTTTATTTATAGAAAATTCAAATTTAGTTTTTATAACAATGAGGAAATATACAATAAATTAATGATAAAACTAATAGTTTTTTACAAATTTATCAATATTTCTATTAAAATCCACCTTGATTCAATATATTATGGTAAGAAGTCTTAAATTTAATATAGGTTAGAACTTCCGAATTATTAAAAAAGACTTTTACCGCTGTAGCCTCTTTCAAACTATTTCTATAAGTATTTAAAAAAAATCTTATATAAATAATTTCTATTAAAATTTCATTGGATCACTGTTTTTAAAAATAGTTGTGGCAGTTTTGAAATTCAGAAAAATTTGTTCGAAAATGCCGTTTTTTATGGTAGCGTAATTTTGAGATACTCTAAATTTCTTAATTTGAGGGAGTTTCTTCCAATTTTCGGTAACGATAGGTTCAATTAGATTAAAATCGGTATAATAAAAACTGAATTTTTATGGACAGATTTATCCATAAAATAACGCACACTATCATAACACTAATACATTCCCATCGAAGCTAAAATAATATTTACAATGTTTCCAACAAAATATTAACTATATCTAACTCAAAAGTATATTTTGTTTCGTATCATAAGAAGTTTTTATAAGTGGGCGTATTTGGTTCTTGCGTCAGTGCCTTCAATAGTTGAAGGTATAATAATAAACAATTATTACTAATTTTACTTCAAAGGTAATAGTACCTAATTTAGACGTCACTTTATATTTTTTTGTCTATTCATAGTTATTTCTAATAAATATGTTTAAAATAGTGATAACAACTAAAGCAAATGCATAACATATTTTAATAATGCAACCTTGACAGTATACAAATTTAAAATAGACTAGTTTTTTAGTAAACGGATATGAATCGTTAAATACATAGATATTTATCTTGTAATACCCGTTTAATAACATACATGGCCATTCGAATTTTTAATATACATGTAATATTTATTATAATTGTTGAAATTTTACTGAAAATTTGTACTTTTGTCTTTTTTAACGAATGTGCACTTAAATATTATACAATTTTCAATTTCTGTATAATGATGCAATTCTTTTTTGTAAAGAAGAACTTAAGTGACACAACATATTCAGTTATTAACTTGTCCAATTCACTACAGGTTCCTTAAAAGCAGGGTTAATGCGTTTAAAACAAAATATTTTTAACGCTTAAAAATTATTTAAACATATTTAATTAAAAAAATTTAGTTTAACAAAAAAAAAGGATACATTTATAATTAAATTAATTTTAAAGTCTTCGATTTCTTAAAATTTACAACTAATATTAAATAATAAAGTAATGAATACAGTAATAGGCTATGGATTAGCCTATTACAGACTAGTGAATACAAGAATATTTAATTAAATTAAAAATATTTTGTTCATTCACAATTTTATGAGTGATTAATGTCGTTTCGAAATAATTGACTATTTCCGTTTTTTTATAAATTCCCGCTATTTTTAATATCATAAAATAAAAGTCAAGTTACGATAACAATTATGAAGTAAGTAATATCTTATAAATTTAAAAATGCAGTAACAACTTGGTTACAGGTTACATGCTACTAACTGTTGCCATTAGAGGCCGCTTAACAACTCACCACTTTAAGGGAATATTATGTTATTAAGTGTTGACGATAGAGGCCGCTGTAATAACCCACGAATGCCATAAAACAATTTGTTGTTCAATAAGGTGATGCAATAAATAAATATCTTTTCTTCTTCCTCCCCTTAATCCCAACTACTTGGGGTTGGCAAAAAATAAATATGTAAATGTAAATAAATTTAAGGCATAAGGGATGAACTTAAAAAGTATTAAATAACTAATTATTTAAGAATAATGCGTAAATTAAGGTAAACAAAAAAAAATGTTTAAATTATTTTTATTCTGTAAATAATTGATTGGGTTATGATAAAAAAATAATAGTTATATATTTGTAACCAATATTTAAATTAAAAAAAATAGTATGATAGGTTTAGCCTAACTTTTTAAAAAAACAATTTTAAAAGCTCAAAACAACAGGTTAAACTACTTCAGTAATAATTATAGCATACATACAACTGAACAGTGCTACAAAACAGTATACTAAAAATAAATACTAATATTTACAGTAATGAGAATGATTTACGCAACAGTATTACTTAGGGCCATCATTTTTTTTCGTTTTAAATGCTCGTCCAGAACCTTAGAGGTCCTTTTAGAATATCGTGGCTTCAATTAAAAAATAATAATAATCTGTTTTAATATTTTTTGGGGTTAAATCATGAAAATCAACGAAAAAAAAACTTTATTTAAAATAATGAAACTCGTATTTAAAAAAACAATGTTTTTTATTTAAATAAAAAACATAAAATTTAACAACACTTCAGTGTTATTTCTCTTCTCATGAGGAAATAAGTACTTATGCGAACAGACACAAAAAAAAATATGGTTCAATTCAAAAATTCTGTTACTACTTCAATGTTATTATTTATTATATTAGTTATTTGTTTAGTAATAAAAACTTAATAAAAATTTGAAAAAAAATCATAATATGTCTTTGTTAATTTACTTGTAATACAATGGTTTTTTATATAAAAGTTTTCCAGATTTTTTATGAGGTAAAGAAAGCTTTTATGATAATTATAATTTGATCTAGATCAGAACATTTAGGCTATTGAAACACTTTTTAACCCAATATACAATAATGTTTACTTTGAATCATTGTCTGACACTTAAACTTTATTTTACCCCTTCATATTAATTCTGTCATTAATAAGTTTGCTAAATTAATTATGTAAAAAACTTGAAAATGACATAAATTACATAAGTACAGTATGATTGATTTTATTGTTGATTACTAAATTTCTCCCAAAATAATAATTTTAATATTTTTTTTTAATTTATGAGTTATTAAGTTCTTCAGTGATATTTTATAAGACACTGATATCGTTCCGATTTTTTGGATATTTTATTACTATATCGAAATATATTGATATCCCAATAAATTGATTATCGTTAGTTTTGATAATTATATAATAATTTTTCTTTGGTATCGCATTATTGGTGCGTCTTAATATTGTAATAATCTATTAGCAAGCGTGGGAAATTTCCATTTCCATTATACCAAAAATAATATTTTATTTTTGACAAGTCCATACAAATTGATTTTAACACTATCGATATTGATAATAACGTAATATTCCAATACAATATCGGTATCATAGTTTTATCGATATTTAAAAATCGTTGATGATCCTTAAAGTGCTGCTTAGCACTCAATCATGATAACCATAATTATTGTTGTAACATTTAAATTTATGTTATTTTACAACAACTATTTTTAATCGGAATTTTAGTTGATTCAACTAGTTATTTTACAGTATGACAAAACTTTCGACAGCTTCAACTAACCTAACCTTTTACTAGTTTGATGGCTTAAAAATATATTTCTATAGTAAGAATTTTTTATCATCAAAATCTAAATTTCAAAAGCAGTGATTAAAATATTTATTTTGTATAACCATCCTAATATACAAGGTGATTTATTTATCGCTGACGACTTAATTTCTTCTGAAATAATAACATTTTCAGAATATTTTTTTTAGCTTATTTAAGTAGTATTTAGTTCTTAATTTATAAGTATTAGTATTTATTTTTAGATCTATCTTTTGTCCTTTATAAGGGTATCTAGTTAATTAACTTTATTTAAATTGGGATATATATATTTAATTCGGTTTTTGTTAAATAGCGGTCTAAATATGAAAATGACTGATCAATAACTACTTTTGGATCAGTATTTCGCATTTTCTTACACTTTTATACCTAGTCAAAAGGAGGAATGCAACTGAAAAATATCTATTGGATAAAAATAACATAGCTGCAGCCTCACCACCAATCTATGTTTAAAAATATTAATTTTGAAAATACTTATTAACTTCTTTAGAACAAGTGATATTTTACAAGTTCGAATGATACTTTTTATGTAGAAATAGCTAATAATAATATATTAACATGAGTTTTTTAATTATTTAAATACTTTTCAAAGTTAGAGAAATATCATTTTATGTAGTTATATAATAATACTAAATCAAGTTGCCACGGATTATTGAATATGGATACACTAATGTTTATTTTTAATTACATATACTTTTACTGACAATCACAATAAATTGTGAAAAAAATATTTTGATACATTGATTTTTTGCATACAATCAAATTACAATGACGGTAAAAAAGTTCTTTCGTCGGTTGGCAAGGGCCTTCACATGTTGTGTCTCCAAAAAAGAGCGTTATATAAATGGTAAAGTATCGCAGTTTAGTCTAGCCCATGTATTATTTTAATGAAATTTATCTTAACACAATAGACAACAAAAATTCTCTCGGTATCTAGTGTTTTAACACGTACAGAGAATTATTTATTTATTTGAATATGTAAATGTAGTGTAGATTTATTATTCAGTATTAAAAAATTCATTTATGATTTTTTTCTAAATTAACTATAATTAGACTAATTATTGTTGAGTGGATAAATATTTTTGCAATTTCATGTATTATTAATTAGAAAGCACGGACTGTTACTTAAGTCCAGTTAGTAGACATGATATTCAGGATTCAGGAACTCAAACAATTACGATTTTAGAAAATGTGTCTAATGAAAAGCTAAATATTGTTGACAACAACCTTAACAAGACTCTTGAAGAATGTGAGAAGTTTAAAAAAGAGGTTCACGAACTTGGTATGGCAGAGCCTATAATAGCAGATACTGAAGGAGCAGCCATTGTGGAAAAGAGTAAGCAAGAAGAGGATACCATAAGTTTTTTAGAAATTGTTTGAATTTAAAATTGAAATACATTTAATACTTAAATTTGTATACATTTTTATAAAAGCTTAAAAATTTTAAGATAAATATTTTTGCAATTTAATGTGTTATTAATTAGAAGACATGAAGTGTTACTTACGTCCAGTTAAAACACGTAGATTTAAAAAAGGTACTTTATGCTTCTATGGAAAAAAGAATAATTCTGGCACGATAACTACAGATGATGGGCAATGTTATAAGTTCTATAAAGTAAGTATATTATTTTATCGTCTTCACTATAATAGAACAAAACTGGGTAATCAACATTTTGAAATTTTATTTTGGTTTTATATATATTTATAATATTTTATTTATTCTAACAAAATGCTTTTAACTTTAAAATATTTTAAGGTTTTTATTATTAATAAATCTTGAATATTTTTCGGGGAATATTAAAGAATAAAAAAAAAGTCTATTTAAAGCTATATAAAATAGTGTATTTTTGTTTCCCTCGGAATAATTAAAAATATCGAGATATGCATGTAGGCACAAAAGTGAACATATATTGATTAAATAGATCCTAAAGTTTAAAATTATCTTTTTTTCAGGAAGATTTAAATTTAGGTTTTGATCGACGATTTAAATATCCACAAAAAGTGAAATTTGTTGTTGATGATTCAGAGCCCAAATGGGCCTATGATGTAGAAATAATTGGAGACCCTTATGTCCAAAGGTAATATAAGATGGTTTAATAGTAAAAATAATCAAATTAATACTGTTTCTTATCTACAGGTGCTATTATTGTTTAAAAGATGATCATCATGGTTTAGAAGACTGTATGCAGTTACAAAAAGACTCTTATAATTTTTACTATCCTTATATATAACATAACATAACTGTACAAAACAAGCAGTTTATATTATTTATTCTGTTAATGTTTCAATTTAATTTATAAGTACTTTAATTTATTAATAAAAATTATGTGTTATAAAGTTAAATATTAAGAGTTAATGTATTTTAATAATATTCTATGTTATTTCTAATTCGTGATCAATATATTGTCATCAATTAAAGATTCTTTGATTAACATATTTAATATAATAAATATATAAGGATGTATGTTAAAAATCATACTTTTCAAGAGAACGAAAAAATAGATTTTCTTTAAATACAAATGTATGCTATGTTTCAGTGGCGACGGCACGATCACACCCCCTACTAAAATTAAGTACAAGAAGAAAATTGATTTTGTATTCTACATTTTTATTAAAAATACAAATTTCTAAATAGTAAAATAAACATTTTTCGTATGCGAACATTAGAGTTGTTTCCTCTGTATATGTCGGTAAGCATACACACACGAGTAGTGTTTGAACAACCGGCAGCGTCGTCCAAACAGTATTCTGACATTACTTATATAATAACTTGTGTTATAAACGAGGTGCTTAATCGTGTGCGTGCGGATACGTTTCATTTGTGATCTTGTGTATGGGTTTTGGACGACCTGTAGCGTCGTCCATACGGTAAAATATTAGTATATTACCATATTGGGCAATTTATTTTTAGAATTAACTGCTGTCGTTATCGGTTGTTATAATAGTATAATGGCTATTATTATTATTTTCTACTGCGACCTTTAAAATAATAATATGTGTTTTATATTATTATATTTAATTTGACAATTTTTTATAACTATGACTAGCGGTATTATATTTAATGAGGCATCCCCATCACCAGCACCCACGTGCCACCACTGTTTTCAACCAAGATAATTTTTTACAGAGTTGGGTGTCTCAGAAATGGTTCAAACAAATTTTATAAATGCATAAAGTCCCGAGCCTCGCATATAAGTATTAAAAAAAGTAGTATAATATAGTTTTTCTTTAATTTAAATAATTATCCCAAAAAAAAAATGTTGCTCGAATTTAAGAATAAATAAGTAAAAAAACCTACTACTTCTTTGTTTAAAAGTCATCACAAGGTTATAGAATTAACTTTAAATAAAAAGAATTGATGAGTCAAAAAAAAATTTTAAAAGAAGGTACTAAAATAACTACTGTATTCATATTATTCCATTCCACTAATAATCAATATCTCTTACCTTAGCTTACTCAATTCAATATTCATCAAAATAATATTAGCTATCGTACCCATTATAAGACAATCAGGTTTCTTCAATGTAAAATTAATTGCATAATTGATTAGCTACTATAAAAAGCAAAGAAAAGTCTATTTTCTCTCATCTTAACCACGATTGACGCTACACCTCTCTTATATGCTCGTTCCTTATCCTATCTTCTCTAGTAACTCCACTCATCCATCTAAGCATTTTTCATCTCTGCTACACTCATTCTCTGCTCTTATTTCTTATCAACCGTTCAACACTCTGTACCATACATCATAGCTGGCCTCACTACAGTCTTGTAGAATTTTCCTTTCAGCCTCATTGGAATTCTTTTATCGCATAACTACACATATAAAAGTAATAATTAAAAATTGTTATGAGTAAAAAAAAGGAATAAATAATAATTTTGATAAAACCATATTATATTTAGTAATTTAACGATGGCTATTAGCTTAACCAATATGTAACTATTTTTGTAACTACACAACATAGACTGATGGTAATGGAGTTGTGGTGTACCGGAAAGAGATTAAACAAAAATAGAAGAAACACGGGGGAAAAGTCGAAGATCCGGTGGTGGAAATTGAAAGGGGAAAATGAAAAGAGTTTGTCAAGACGGTAAAAGAGAGGACGGCGATTAATGCCGAGGGAGACATAAATGATGTGTGGAATAGATTTGCTAGTTGTGTAATGAATACTGCAAAGGAGATTGTTGGTGAGAATAGGAGTAGAATGCCAGAAACAAGGAAACCTGGTGGAGTGATGAGGACGTTCAACAAATTAATAGAAAGTAAGAAAAAGCAATTCAAAGTATGACAGAAGAGCAAAAGGAGAGAAAATTGTATGGAGTATAAACGCTTGTGCAAAGAAGCCAAGTATGCAGTAAGTAAGGCGAAGTTTAAGAGGTATGGTGAGTTGTATGTAAGGCTAGGAACAAAGGAAGGCGAGAAAGAAATCTAATAACTTGCAAAGATAAGAGAGAAACGGTCCTCATAAATTTTTGAAAAAACATAATATTTAAATATTAGGAATAAGAATTGAACAAATAAAAATTGCTGAAAAAGAACAGTAATATAAGTAAATATTGGGACATTTTCTAGAAAAAAAATTTTGCCTCTCCATTTGCAACCATCTTACAGTCCTTTAAGTATAAATTGATCATTAATTCATTTAATTTTCCAATTATAACATATTGTTATGAATGTTACAGCTATTTTTCATTTTATTATAGTAACGTACAAAATGCGGCAACAGTTTTCTGCAAAATCAAAAATGATCCGAAAGGTATAGTAACTTATGTTATACCAAAAGAAAGCTTATAGAATTTTACATCTTTTTATTAGAATAGCTAAGTGCCCAAAGACGTCCATGTGAATCATAAAAACGTAAGAATTAAATACCAAATTTTTGTTATATTATAGTAACCTATAATGCGGTAACAGTTTTCGGCAATAATTTTTACTATACCAAAGGAAAAGTATTAAAATTTTATATCTACATTTTGCCATTACATAGTTACGTAAATCTTTAAAAGGCGGATATCTTTTATGTTATATTGGTTTATTAATTTTGTGTTTACAAAATATTATTTTATCAATTATATACAACCATTTTCAATAAAATAACAATGAAAATAACATTTTATCATATAATTATTTAATTATTTTATAACTAATGAAAAATGTTTTATTTAAATTCTCAAAATTATTAATAATTTAGAAGAAATAAAGTTGTTAATGATAAATTAATCAACTTGTATATGTATAATGTATATGAATTTTTACCATGAATTTCATAAGACATGTTAAAATTAATAATCTAAAAACAGTGACAGTCATGTTTAAAAATGAAAATTATTCAAATACTATTGGTTTGAAAATTTATGTTAATATTATATTTAGACTTCAGTCAAATATATAAAACAGTAAATACAATTCAGATTATGATATTACAATTTTTTTATTTTAATATATCAATAATTTAAAAAGATTATTTATTATGATTTATGAAAAACTATTTTTCGTCGCATTGATTTTTCGTCTTCCAGAATTTTCTAAGGCAAGTTTGTTTTGTATTATTTTTTACTAAGTAAAATATCGTGCAATAGATAAATACAATTAAAAAATGTAGGTATTAATACGCAAATTAACGTTTTACAAAATATTAAAAAAGTTCATTACCTAATTAAATCTATCATTAATTATTTAATGCAATCATTGTATTTCATATTTCGATGTGAAATTGAAGAGAATTAATTTATCATAGTAGTAAACATATATAGTAATCAATAAGATTAAAATACTGGGGTTATATCATTTTTATGACTTATATGTTAAAGAAAATAGAATTTGTAAAAAATATTGAGGCTAGAATCTGATTTGCTTATGAGTAATTAGAATAGCCCGACTAAATAATTGTTGGATATCAAAATTCCAATGATCACAACAATCCATAAGGTTTGAGAATTTTTTTGTAGATCAAAAATCTATTTTCAGCACTTAACTAATATATTTGCATCTTACTTGTAATTCTTTTTTAATTGAATATTTAGAGCTATTACCATAATAATCTTAGAAATAGATAAGTAAGTGAAAGAAAAATTTACTAAAATATGATTTATAAGTCTATGTTACAAACTTACTTTTACACGGATTTTACATAAATATAAAACTTTTTCAATAATTGCTAGAAATATTATTATTAATATTCCAAAAAAATCATTTTACAGTCATATTCATTTATCATTAAAGAAGTAGAAAATGATAATGTAACTCAAGTTTTCATTTTAATACTAAATCAAATTGAATCTATAGTAAGTCCAATTTTATTTCCAGAAAAAGCACTAAGTCAATTTGATGAAGAAGAGGTTAATGCTTTAATAAATAAAACCACTTATCCTCCACGTAGTATTATAGGAAAATTAAACCTCTTTAGTAGTATTACAAAAAGTGAACTGCTGAGCATAGAAAAAAAATTAAACGTGAAAGAAAAGTATGAAAGCAAAAAGAAATCACTGCAATGTATTAACACTTTAATTTTGAATGCTATGGTCTGGAATATAAAAAATTCATTGTTAATTAATGAAATGCCAAATCTAGATAAATTAGAAGTTTTTGAAAAATATAAAATGTATTTATCTCGTATGCTATCTGTATTGTATTATGGCCGTATTAGAGCCAAAAGATGGCTTACTTATTTATATACCAAATTGTTAAACATAGCAGATACAGAGAAAAATGAAAAAATAATGCAAATAAAATTTATAAACAATGAATCACTTTTAAGTGACATCGAAGATGATTATAATAAGTGTGAAAGTAGTTATTTTATTCCAAAACCTCGAAGACTAATTAAGGATGAATTTTACAGTTTTTATAAAGTTTTTGACATCATTGAACAGTTGTATAACAATGAAGAAATGAATCAGGGCTATATTTATGAAAACTTGTTTAGTATGGAAAATATGACATTATACTTTTTAAAAGATCAGTATAAAGTAATATTTGGACAAATGACTGTTGGACAATTTAATTGGCAAGAAAATATGAATGACATGGAACATTATAACAAATATATTAATACGATTTATAAAAAAAATGAATGGATCATCGAACCTTTTCGTGCTAAACTAAGATATCATTTAATGTTTCAAGAAATTGTTTTTACACATATTTTGCAGTATATCTCGATTCATATGCAGCAATTTTTCATTACTTGTAGTACTAAGGCAGCAATAATGTGTTACAATTGTTCGTCAATACACATTTCAATTAATCAATATAGAAACTTGTGGTATCTTATTGCGGAACCACTAAAAAATGCTATTGAACTATTAGGTTTCAAGGATACTTTGTTAAATCAAATATTGATACATTTTGAGACCAAATCATCAAACCTGTGTCAATATAAAACATTATTATATCAAGTTAAAATTTTGCACAGACGTTGTTTACGTGAATTACATGTTCCGATTAAAAAAAATACAGAGTATCAACTCAATCTTGACGGACCACGTAATGAATTTGACCAATTTGCTATTGAAAGCAATTTCAGTAAATTTGTAAATTATGTTAAAGAAGTTAAGACTTTATTAAAACCCATCAACAGTAGTTTATTCTTTATTAGGTTTTTATATCAAGACGTATTTCTTGATTATAAATTTAAATTTTTTCCATATATTTGTAAATATAGTAATTGTTAATTATTATGACTAAAACATATTTTAATGCTATTTTTAAATAAATTTTACATAATACATGTGATACTTACAATTTTATATTATGAATTTATACACTATTTACATTAAAAAAAATAATAATAAATAATGTATTTCAAATTTGTTCTTATCTAAGTTTACTATATGTACAATAAATATTCGCTATTATTTTATTATAATTTAATATATTTCCTCTATTATCAGATAATTTCACATTTTATATTTTAGATAACATCAAAAAAACACTATTGAATTGTGTAAATTAAAAGTAATTAACTCGGCTTTATTTGAGTTTTTTAAAATTTTCTTTTACTTTTATCATCTTTTTTAGCTTCGATGCGAATCTGAAAAGGTATTAATTTTACCATGATGTGTTTTTTATATATATCTGTCGCCATTTTTTCTTAGCTCTCACTGGATCTATTACTTTCAACGATACGTCAAAAGATCATAATAAATCGTATCTAGATGAAGACAATGCCGTTAACTTTTTCAAAATCTCCAACGTTTCCCGTAAATGGTGGAAATTCCCCAAAAAATTAAGATTTTTAAAATCAGTAAATTTTGACATTTTTATTAAACTGTCATAACTTTTTCAAAAATAAACAAATCAAAATATTTTTTTTTATCGGGTTTTATAAAATAGACTACTTAACATTTTATAGTTATTTTATATTGTGTTTGAAATATACTCGGGATTCCTTTAATAACTTAAAATAAAAAATATACATAATATAGCTGGAAATTTTTTTCAAATGACGTGTTCCATGATAATCCTGATTTCAAGAGTACTACAAAATAAATTGGTTTTTCATATTATGTTATTCGTTAAATTAATAACTTAGAACTGTAGTCGTGATTAGTTAATAAATGTCTTAATAAAATGTTATTTTGAAAAAAGGAAAGAAATGTGTAATAAAGGGTTTCTAAAATATACCAAACATTCATTTAAAAGTTAAAAGAACTTAATATACAAAAATTACAGAAAGATTTTCAAAAATTTACAATTTATATCACAATATAAAAGAATTTGTGTATACACAAAATAGGATTGCAAGTTTTTAAAAATATTTGCTCTATAAATGAAAGCAGTGTACCAAATGATTTAACTGTATTAATATACGTGTGACAACTTTGTAATTACACACAATTTAATCAGTAGTCTTATATTAAGAATTAAAAATCATAAATTACTAATTTTTTTGGAAAGTATTTATAATTATGTATAAAAATTAGTATTCTTTGTTTATAATCAATCTATTAGTTATTATTGTAAGTTTGCTGTAGAGCTTGGCTGCTACTTGGGAAATAGCGAAATTCAAATATTATGCTTGTTTCCTTTTTGGATACAAAGAAAATAAATTCTAAGGAAGTTGTTTAGGAGGTATAAATTCATTTACATTAACATATTTATTTTTTGCATCACCTTTAATGAACAACAAATTGTTTTATGGCATTTGTGGGTTATTACAGCGGCCTCTATCGTCAACACTTAATAACAAAATATTCGCTTAAAGTCGTGAGTTGTTATAGCGGCCTCTAATGGCAACAGTTAGTAGCATGTAACCTGTAACCAAGTTGTTACCGCATTTTTAAATTTATAAAAAATTGCGGGCTAGAAATTGCTCACATTATACTCGCGCCATGATAACGGCGACCTTTTATTGTAAAATTTAAAAAATGCCATTGTTCCAACTCTTTTTAATCGAATATAATATAAACATTTTTATAACCAATATGAAAAAAATAATTCAACATAAATAAGTTCTCTTGCAAATAACAACAGTATGTTATTATGAATTTGTTATAGTTTTATTAGAGAAGAAAGGCAGAAGTAAAATTTTTAGCAGTTAATAAAAATTTAATTCTACAACTTTTTAAACCTATTATCTTATTAATGCACATTTTTCATTATCTTTAATATCTTCTATTATTCTAGTATTTTTTTATAATGACTTCATTTGAATGCAGAGGAGTATTAGTTGACTTTCCTTATGAACCATATGAGGTACAAAAGAAATTTATAGAAAAAGTTCTCGAGTGTCTACAAAATGTAAGTGAATTATCGTTTTATATTTCCTTAAAATGGTATTAATTTTCTATTGTTAAAAATTCTTAATTATAATTTGGTTTTATTTTTCGTGAATTTTCAATATATATTAGCAATTAATAATGAATTTTGTAGGTCTTTTTCTACAGGAATTTTATTAGATGGTATTTTCTTATTCATATTGTGTAAAGTTTAATGTAATAATTTAATATTGTAAAAATAATTTTCAAACAAAAATATTTTATAGAGTAGCAATGGAGTTTTAGAGTCACCAACTGGAACTGGCAAAACTTTGTCACTATTGTGTTCATCATTAGGTTGGCTAATGGCTAAAAAAGCTGCAATACAAGCTAATAGAATGGGTATTTCGGAGAGTAATTTATCAATGCTAATAAATTCAGCAGCAGGTGTTGAAAAGAATCCAAATAGTGCATGGAGTAAATTATTTACATGGAAATACAATATAATAAATTATATATATATATGATAATTTTTTAATAGATGGAGTCATGCGACCACCTCGTATTATATATGGGTCACGTACACATACTCAACTTAACCAAGTCATGAAAGAGTTACGTAGAACTAACTATAAACATATGAAAATTGGTATAATTGGGTCCCGAGACCAATTATGTATTCATCCAGAAGTTGTAAAAGAAACCAACTCATCTATAAAAATAGCAATGTGTCGTTCAAAAGTTAGTGCACGAACTTGCCATTTTTATAATAATGTTGAACTTAAATCTAAAGAGGCATTTATAGAAAATGGTATTGCTGATATTGAAGATTTAATAAATAAAGGAAAAAAATTTAACTGTTGTCCTTATTATGGATCAAGAGAACTACAGAAAGATGTAGACATTCTTTTCACACCATATAATTACATAGTTGATCCTAAAACAAGAAAAGCTCAAGATATTCAGCTAAGTGTATGCATGTTATTAAATTTTAAATAAATTAAAATTAATGTATACGTTATTATTTATAGGAGGATGTAATTATTCTTGATGAAGGTCATAATGTAGAAAAAATGTGTGAAGAATCACTTTCAGTAGAAATAACCAGTACTGATATAGCTCTTTGCATCAATACAGTAACAGATGTATGATTATATTAAATATCAACTTAACTTTAGTGTATTAAATATATATAATAATATAGATTATATTATTAATAAATAGATTATATACTAATTCATAATAGATAATGAAACAATTATATAATGAGAAAACCACCGAATTTACTGAAGAACCAGTGCAAATACGACCGAGAGAATTTTCTGATGATGATATATGTACTTTAAAAGCTCTGTTTTTAGAAATTGAACAAGCTATTAATAATATAGAATTATGTAGCAGTACAAATGACAAAAAAATGGAGGGATCATATATATTTAAACTTCTTCAAAATGCAAATGTTGGTAAACTATAAATATTAATTTAATTTAATTAATACAATATTCTTATAACAAAAATTTTAAATTATTTTTTTAGATAACACCAGACAAGATGACAACATTTATAACTTTTTTGAATGCAGTTATTGTTTATCTTTCATCTTCAAATGTCAATTCCCCTCAGCAAGCTAAAGAAGCGTGCCTGTATAAATTTCAAAATTTTTTAGAATGTGTTTTACAAAGCATGGGACCTAATAAAGATCCTAAAAACACAGATAAATATTTTAGGGTAAATTTAAAAAATAATTTTTTTAGTTATGATGTATAGAAATTTAGTTCACTGTGATCACACTATTTTTTTTATACTAATTATTTTCTTAAAAATAAAATATTCACTTAAATAAATATTTCAATAATTTTAATTTAAATAATTATTAAATAAGTTTAATTCAACATAAATATTTTTTTATTATTTTAGACGTATATTCAATTGGAGCAAAATAAATTTAAATCCAAGAATGATACTAACAAGTTTAAAGAATTAAAAAAAGGAAAATCAATTAATTTTTGGTGTTTTAGTCCTGGATTCGGGTATTAAAATTACTCATTATTTTTCAACTTTTATAAAATTATTGTATCATTACTTTTTGAGTTATTACATTTTTTTAGTTATAGATGGGTAGCATGCACATCAGTGTCTGTTTGTTATGACAATAATAGAGTGCTCTTAAACACTACCCCACTCTTTAAAATTTTTAAATCTTCTAATATCTCACAAAGTAATTATACAAATCTGATTAAATACCTGTTAAAAATTTATTTAGACTATTCTTCATTTAATAGAAAAAAATTATAGGTTCCTATTTAATTTGAAAGTTACTCCTAAAATCTATCTACCTTTAAGAATAATTTTTTTTTACATAATCTAAAAATAAATCAATATATTTAATATTTACAATGACTTATAAAAATTAATTAAATTTTAATAATATATAAAATATAACTTCATAATTCGCTATTATCTCTTAAATAATATTTATTTTTGCAGTATGAGAGATTTATTGGCTCGTAATGTTCATTGTATAATCCTCACTAGCGGAACATTATCTCCCCTTGCTGCAACTATTACAGAAATTGGAATTCCTGTTAATGTTCAGCTACAAAATTCACATGTTATCAAAAAAAATCAAGTAATCAAAAGTTATATTATAGAATTTTTTTTTAATTAAAAAAAAAAAAATTTTAATTTGTTGTATACAACTTAAATTAACTAATAAAGTATAGTTAATGTAAAAAAAAATTTCTATTTTTTAAAGCTCAATTTGTTTAATTAATTATAATTTATACACTACAAATACTTGTTATTCAGTCAATATTAATAGACGTGTTTCAGTATTATTTTCAAATAAAATTTTATTTAATATTGAATTTTCCTTTAAAATGAGTAAATTTATCATTTATATAATTATAAGTTATAATAATAATAACATGTTAAATGTCACATAAATATTTTGTTTATTGTTATTATTAGATATGTGTATCAGTTGTCAAAAAAGGGCCAAACAACAAACCCCTTATATGTAACTACAGTAGTAGGTAATAATTTAATTCATTTTTTTTATGTCTGGCAATGACTATAATCACATAAAAAAAAAAAAAATTTATAATACTAATTTTAGATAACATAAAATAAGTTGTGTATGTATTCCGTATATATTATATATACTAAATCCTGTATTTTCAAAAAATGTTGAATAACATTAGGAATAATATGATATCTTATGTTAGATCTTTTTTTAAGATTCTCTAGTGGTTGCTTTTTCCTTGGGGGATTATATATCACTGTTGGTTAATGAGTAGTGTTTCTATGATCTTTACAAATTTGAAGTCCTATCATCCTATATAATATTGAAAGCATAATGTTGTAATTTATTATATCATAGATAACAGATTAATCAACAAATACTACTCCTGTTATTTTATTTGTATTCAAGTCATTTTCAATGTATTGTGTCAGATATAAAATTTTCCCAGCATATGACTTTCTAGGTCTAAAGCCTGTTCTCTTTCGTACATTTTACCTAGGTTGTACAGCAGTGATACTGGTCAAAAGCTTTTGGGTACTATTAGATCTTTTCCATGTTTTATTAGAGCAACTATCTTGGCTTTCTTCCAAATTTTGGATATTCTGTACAATTTATTTATGTATTTGTTTTGTGCACAAGTCGTCAAGTTCAGATTCTATGTAATCGTTTCAGGTTATTATTGCATTTTTCAAGTCTTTCATGTCAAAAGTCATGCTTATGTCTTTGATTTCGCAAAATATGTATCATCTAAGTTATTCCTTTTGGATTTTTTATCTTATTTGTTATATATATATATTTCTGGATTAATGTATAACAAGTCAAACTTTAGGGTTTATATGTAGAAGTTGAAAAATTTCCTAAATCAACAGTTAGTATTTTCACATCATCATTCTATGTTATGTCGAAGGATGTCATGTGAGTGTTGGGTTTAATATAAACTGCACTAACGTACTTTCTATGAGGTCCAACACAGCTAGTTTCATGCCATTTATCTATGTATGATAGAGTAACTCCTACACATTTTTGCCAATATTTCTTCTTTCTTAGGTGATATACCTTCAATCTTAATAAACATTATTGTCAAGGGTGGCCTTAAAAATGGTTGTTTTTGTACTCTCTGTTTTTTATGCATATTTAACAAGAATAACTATTGTTACTTGAAGTGAAAAAGTACACCTGTATTTATCTAAATACTACAGTTGCCTTGAGTGCATAATGTAGAGGTTTCTTCCACGCACTCCATTTAATTATAATAAGAAATGTAAATTACTTGTGCCTATTATTAAAAACATTTTATTTTTAATTTTTTAGGAATAATAATGAATTTCTGATGGGTTTAGGTCAAACATTAGTGAATTTTTCTCGAATAATTCCAGGTGGTACCCTAATTTTTTTCCCATCATATCCTTTTTTAGAACAATGTGTTAATTATTGGCAAGGATGCAATATTTGGGGATCAATATCAAAATTAAAGGTAAATTTTGATCTTGCTATTTAAAACAAATAAATAATTAAATTTTCTTTTATAGCCTATATTTGTCGAACCAAAAAATAGAGATGTTTTGAAAAATGTAATTGAAGAATACTATAGAGCAATTGATGAAAATAAAGGAGCAATATTTTTAGCCGTTTATAGAGGGAAAGTATCAGAAGGCCTAGATTTTTCTGATTGGAAAGCTAGAGCTGTAATTATTTTAGGTTTACCTTATCCCCCATATCAAGATCCAAGAGTTGTAATGAAACGAGAGTACTTGGATGAAATGAGAAAAGAAAATCCAAAAGTATTACTTCCTAAATCTTATCTAATTATAATGGAGAAAAATAATTTTAAATTACTATTTCATATGCTTAGTGCTTATCTGGTCAAGAATGGTACAAACTTGAGGCCATAAAAGCTGTAAATCAAGCCATGGGTCGAGTAATAAGACACATTAGAGATTGGGGATCAATTATTTTCTGTGATGAAAGGTATGCTAGTCAAAACATTAAATCACAGCTTTCTGCTTGGGTACAACCTCATATCAAAATCCATGAACAATTTTCTTCAGCATACAAAGATAATGTACAATTCTTCAAAAATACTGGGATGACTGTAATTATAACTTTTGTGTGTTAAAACTATGTAAATTAAGTTTGATCAAATATTTTTTAAGTTATACAAAATAAAAATATGTAAGATATATATGTATATTTAATGATCATTAACTATTGATATTTTATAAATAAATCTAATTTTTATTTTACTATTAAAAGAATAATATTCATATGACAAAGATTTAATCTTGATCTATTTAAAATTAATTTCATTATTATTCATAAAATGACTAAAATTAATCACTTTTTTACAGATGCCTTCTTCAATTATATTTTCAAAAGCATCCTTTGATGAACCAGCTCAGGCAACTGTTGTTAGGTCAATAGAGTCTGTAAAACGTAAAGAAATGGAAAATGATACTTTAAAACTTTATGAAAGTTACCGTGCGAAAGATATAACAATAAAACATACCGAAACTAATAGAAAAAGTCTTCTAGAATCTGTTGACAACTATGTTGAAAAAAAAGTTATAAATACAGTATTAGAAAGTCAATGTTCAAAGACTGAATTTAATATTGACATAATGCCATCTACCAAAAAACGAAAATTAAAAATAATTCCTAATAAAATTGAAAAGGAGAAAAAAGAAGATGCAAAAGTTAAAACTATGAACCTCATGACTAAAGTAAGCTTAGTTATATTTGTTTTGTTCAATGTAAAACAACTCTTAGTTGGATACTTACATACTTATAATGAAAAAATATCAGGTACGTTCCATTATAAATGATGCCAGTGTTTACTCAAAATTTGTAAATATTGTTAAAAACTACTTAATGGAAAAAAACTGTCATAAATTTATACAAAATTTGGATGATCTATTCCCGATGAAAAATCCTGAAATTATTGGTATTTTAATAGGTAAGTAGTTATTTCTATAAATGCAAATAAAAACAATTATAAACTTGTGAAATTTTTTTCAAACATTCAATAAAGTATTTGAACAACATATTCATTAATAATTACCTGTAATTTTGTTGTGCTATTACATAAGGGTATGATTTTTAATTATTTATAAATTTTAGATGTTATATGTCTATTGTTTATATTTAAATTCAGTTATATTATTAACTCGGTTCAACTTTTACAATTAATTATTAAGAAGTTACTATACATTTTTTTTATCATAAATTTATTGATGAATTTCATTTAAACATTTATTTTTAATTCAGACTTGAAAGATTTTTTTGGAAAAGACGTTGACAGTAATTTTTGTAGATACTGTGCAGAACTACAAAAACAGCAAAAGTGAACAATCAAATTATACATATAATTTTATTATATTTTGCTATGTTAATTTTACATTTTTATTACTTATTATACATTTGTATGTTATAATGTGTTAATGATATTTTATATATTAAACATAGTTGCTATAAATTTTTAATAATGATATAATAATAATAATTAAACATTTGTAATAAAATATTAAGTTTTTCTATTTTTTATGCCTCTATACTAAAGTAAAAACGGTAGCACAGTGAGGTCGTGGCAAAGTATGGACGTGACATAGTTGAGACAAGTATAGAAGATATCTGACAGTGATTAAAATCATTATCATAAGAAACGCTTCGATGCAAATTTGTACAGTGTTTAATTTTAAGAAATTGGTGGATTATTCCAAAAGCAAAATTAACCCTACATTTTGGTCTACTTTGACTGCTATTTGCATTAACTAGAAAATAGTTTTTCGGTACAAATTGTTTTTTCGACTTCTAGTACATAGAATATGCTTTATTTTAACATATATTTAAAAGACTCAGTATTCCCGGAACAAATGTGTGTTGATCTATACATCTTCAAAAAGTTATAGCAATTTAAAGTTGAAAATTTTAACAGAAAAATGGCATTTTTTAAACTACGGCAATCGTTGAATTGAAAAAGTTGCTATTTTAAATCCCTTGTTGTGGGCAGGTAAAGGGTCAGATTTTCAAAAATATTATATCAAATAAAAGGGAATTACTTAAGACATTTTTTCAGTTTTCAAGGCAATGTCTTCAACTAGATACGATTTGCGATCTTTCGACATATCTATAAAATAAATCGTTCCAGTGAGAGCTGAGAAAAAGTGGCAACAGAGACAAAAAAAACGCATCATAGTAAAATTAAAACCATCACATCGAAGCTTAAATAAACTGAAATTTTGGGTTTAAAACAATTTTCTTATGCTCTATCTGGGGTATAAAAAAAAAATTGGCTTATGGTTTCTAAAATAAATTTACTCAATAAATGATTTATTGAGACTGGTAATAGCCGAAGTTATTATTACAAATAATAATTAAAGAAGTCACTTTCTTAATTTTGCATTCTAAATATAGTCATGCAAACACTATAAAACTTTAATTTTAATGCAACTAATGGTACTAAGAGGTGTTGTAGCGGTTATTATAGCGATCCAAGTTCTCAATTGGTACTTCTAAAAATTAACAATTTAAGTATAATTTAATAAAAAGTATTTTTTTGGAGGGGGAAAATGTTTTTTTATTAATTAGCTCCCAAAAAAATTGTATTCCTGTTACACCAACACATTATAAGTTAATTATTTTTAAATGCATATAGGACGATTATTTTAATATTACCCATTTTGATTTCTCTTAAAATTATAATTATATTAATAAAATTATTTTTCGTAGTTTAAAATTATTCGAATGGTATAATTATATACTAGTTAAATTAACTAGAACCTATTAAATTGAATCCATTATCTAGTATTAAGGTTAGGTGGTATTTATAAAAAATGTATGTTTACAACCAATTCAAAATATTGCTAACAAAAAAAAATTTATTTAAAAATTTAATAGGTGACAATATACAATATAATTTAATAGATGATTTTGTATACGATGTCAAAATACTTTTATCTGATTAGAAGGACTTGAACATTGTGACCCCTAGTAATAAATTTAAGGGATTTAGAAAGTCATGAAATTAACTTGTCATAACAATGGTGTAATCCCTTGTATGAATGATTATAGATAGGGTTGTTTTGGTTTGGTAAATATTTGGATTGTTGTCGGGGTTGTTAAAATTCATCACCAATAAATTAGTAACAATTGTATGTTCGTAGTATTGACTAGTCGTAGAAATAGCGTCACTCCTTATAGATAATTAATGCATATGATTATTTACTATTATCACTATTATGAGATAAATAATCTGTCTTCTAAACATTTTCGATATTAATTTTGATATGATAAAACTTACTTAAGATTTAGTATAGAAAATTATGTAAAAATTAATTTGATTGTGAATGATATGTGTCACATAGTTTGCAAAATTAAATCATAAATCTGGCTGTTTTTAATGTACTATTTTTGTATGTTACTCTGTTTTTATTAATTAGAAACTTCACTAAATCACTATTTTTTACAATACTTTTAATTTTATTGTATAAACTCTTTCAGAAAAGTTTATAAAAATTTTATTATTTTTATGATTAAAAAAAATGTGTTTACTTTAATCATTAAAATTATGCTGCAATCAGTTGAAAGGAAATCTACAAATCAAACATTAAGACTAGTGGATAGAAACAGACTTATTGCTCAACGTGTTAGAGTGATACCTAATGAAAAATTGATATCTAATGCAACAGAAATATCCAAATCACAACATAATGTATTAGATAATTTGTTAGAATTACCAACAGAATTTGATCTTAATCCAAATTCTAGTAATGATGAACTTTTGGAACTTAGTAACAGTCAAATGTCAGCTTTTTTTCGAGAATTCTCTGATAGTCAAAAAACGGTCTGCAAAGAAGAAAAAAAGAATACTACAAGTAGCTATAAAACAATCAAAGGGTTAGGGTTCTATACTTGTGAAACGTGTCCTTTTTTATGTGTAAATGTTAAATTGTTTTTGGAACACAATGAAAAAGATCACAATTTTCATCATTTGCCTTTAAAATCATTGCTTCGGACAAAATGCATTGGCTGTGATAATGTATTTTATTCTATTAACGTACTTCGGGTAATTATATTTTTTATTTATATATACTACTATAAGAATTTAGATAATGTAGTAATAATATTTATTAAATTTATTTTACTAATGTTTTAGTTTTATTTTATCTAAAATGTTCTTTAGAAAACATTCATAGTTAATTTACTAAAATTTTAAATAATATTAAGCACACATAATTAATAGTTTTTATTAAAAAATAAAAGTAATCCATAGAATTTAAATTATTTTGTAGTTACCTTTCTTAAGCGCTTAATTAAATATTTAAATTAGTATCATTGTGCTTTACTATATACTTTAATGTTGTATTTTTTAGTAAATATGTGTACAGGATATTTAAAAAGCAAGGAAAATTGGTTTTTACTATTTTTATTCTTAATAACAATTCAGTTATTATCATGCTATATATGACTATGATTTATATTATTGTTTTAGTGCCACTTAATTGAAGATCATGACGTGGTACCCATTGAGGTTGAAGAATTAGTACAACTTGTAATTGAAGCTAATAAAGAAGAAACAATGAACTTAAATAATGGTAAGAATAATAAAAATTAGGTTAGAAATATTAAAAAAATGAATATATTTTATTATTAGCTAGAATATATCAACCAGATAATAGTGACTTGGACGAATTGAATGAAATTCATGATACTATACTAGATGAATCAGAGTTTGAACAAAGATCACATTATGTAGATGCCCAAGATCAATTAACAGGTAATATACCATTTAAAGTTGTATTAAAACTAATATATAAATAGTTACATTAGAATGACTAAAAAATAGTTAACTTTTTAACCTTAAATCACCAGTATATATTAAAAAAAATTGCCATTCGAATTTAAGCTTTTTTGGTCAATCCTGATCATTTAGAAGCATTATTCTTTCCATTTTAATAACAGGAAAAATATATAATTTTTTGATAAAAATACTAACTTATCACAAAATAGTTGTAAAAAATTAATGTTGTTTACATATTTAAAAATTTGACTTTTAAATACGTACCAGGATCTTTTATTTTAATAAATTTTTCTATTTTTGATAGATTTGTTAAGATAGTTATATTTTTAAGAAAATATTAAAATTCTTAAGTAATAACTATTTTTAATAAAGTATATATTGGCCCAGCACTCACTGACAACTTAAATAACTTTTGATCTAGTTAATATTTTTAGCAGATTTTTTTTTTAATAACAGTTATACGTTAGGTTTATAATTATATTTCAATAATTTATACTTTTACATTTTATTCAAAATATTTATTATTTTTTAATTTTAAATAGAATGTAAAAAAAAAAAAATCAAAATAGCTATTTTATAAAGTAGATTTTAAGAAAAATTTTGGTAAAAAAATATCTAATTAATATTCAGTAGTAAATATTCTGTAGCATTATAAAGTTTGTGAAAATTTGATTTTTTATGTATTATTTATGGTATAAAACATTGAAATACGTGTTAAGAAAAGGGCATAAGAAAAGACTATCTTTTCATGATTACTATAATTTGGAGGTGTGTTATTTTTCCATGAAAATTACTTACTCATTTAAATGAGAGTGATTAGTAATAATTGCCTTATCAAATATCATTGTATAAATACCAAGTTTGTAAATATAATTACATTATATATACAGTATGTAAATATAATTATAATANCTATTTTCTTTTTTTTATCCCCATTTGTTCTACCAATTACTTACAAAATGAGCCCATTAGAAGAATTTTAAATAGTGCCAATATGGACCCACTTATGTTATCTTGTTAACCACCTTATTTTTGTATTTTTGTACCTCATAGCAGCTTGTATTTTTATATACCTATATTCGTATATTTCTGTTGAATCACTGTGAATTACTCCGTAATGTTATTTATGTTTCTGTTGAATTACTCACTTATGTTATGTATGTTTAAATTGTTATTAATCTAAATTGTAAAAAAGGGCTATGCCCATTAAATTTACAAATAAATAAATAATAGACCTTATAGTTAATATAATATAAATGTTGACTTGTGATAAATAAATTCTAATTTTAGTTAGTATAAGGAGATTTATTTACTAAAGAGATAAAACTACTTATTAAGTTATAGGTATTCGTGTTTTTAAATTGAATTAAAGACGGTCATTACGATGTTAACAATTTTCATGAAAAAATCAATACACATCATATTTAGTGTAAAAAGATTGTATTTACTTCTGTCCTTTTTTATAATACATAGCCAGCGTTTGATACCGTAGAATAAATACAGAAAAATTCGAATTTTTACAAAATTTAAAATGTTACAGAAAATTAACTACAAAACATTAATGACATATGTTTTCACCAAATTTTTTTAAAAATTTATTATAAAAAACGGCTATTTTGAATTTTTTTATTTAATTATAAAAATGTTATTTATTATTTTATTATTATAGCCCATAAGTATATTAAATATAAAAAAAAAAATTAGCAAAAAATATTAATTGAATCAAAAGATATTTAAGTTGTCAGTGAGTGCTGGGCCACCTGAAATTATAAGCATTTAAAATTTGAAAATATGTATATAAATGGTTGATTTGATGTCTTGGATAGTGCATAAAGGTGTTATTACTATATTGTCAGCTTTTGCAGTTTCCTTTATTAGTATGTTTGCCTTTTTATTTCCTTGGATTAATGAGTGTCCTGAGACCCATATCATTTTTACAGATATACCTTTATGGTATATCGAGTGCACTGTGTTTTGTATTAAATTAGCCAGAAAGTTTAAGTTAAATGGATTATCTATGCTGTTTTATTATTCTATGTTTTGGTAACTTATAGGAGTTTTCAAGTACTATAGACAATCCTACTCCTTCTTCCATCTTAGATGTACCCATGTATAGTCCGTTCCAGTATTGGTAATTGTTCATAAGTTCTATAAATTTGATATTGTAAATTATTTGAAGGGTTGAGAGTTTGGGCAAATGGTGTAGTTCATAGTTACATATTTTATATGATAAAAATATTAAATCTTTTTTTCTAATCCTAAGTGTAATATTTTTCTTATTGATTTAGGACCATTCCAATAACCGTTAACCATTAAATTCCAGTAAACAAATGGTAATATATTATTTTTCATTTTAAACATACTTCTTAACTCATTCCCTTGATCAATAGGAAATGTTTCTAATGGTTCAAGCTTGTAATTAAATTCTGCTAAAATACATTTGTTGTATCCAGTTATCAAAGGACATGATGTGTAACCATCATATTTATCAATTAACTCTTTACCATTCATAGTATTAATCATATTCTTTAAAACAATTTTACTTTGTGCAGCTACAGCTGCCAGTGTTTTAGAAGTTGGACAACTTGTACAGTCCCCTATACCAAATATATTATTGTAGACTTTATGGCGCAATGTATATGGATCAACATCTAAGTATCCATTTTCATTACCAAGTATTGATTTTATCAATACATCCGGAGGAGCCATAGGAGGCGTAACATGTAGTAAAGAATATTCTGTTGTAATTGTTTTATTCTGCTGATCTAGCAATTCAAATGTAGCCTCTTTCTTTTTTGAATCAATTTTAATTAAATTTTGTCGTAAATCAACAATTATATTTCTTGTTTCACAAATATATTCTAGCCGATTAGCATATTTTTTAACACCAAAAATCGCTGGTGTTGATGTTTTATATATTACATTTGCTTTATCTCTAATACCTTTTTTTTGTAGAAAATCTTCAAATATATAAACAATTTTTTGAGGAGCTCCTGGACATTTCACAGGGGTATTAGGAAATGTAAATATTGCATTCCCTTCATTGAAATTTTGTATAACTTTATATGTTTTTTCAACATATTCAGATGAATAATTAGTACATATACCACTATTTTTATCTTTAAGTCCCTCTTTTAAACCTAATATTTTGTCATACTTTAATTGTAGACCAATTGCTACTAACATAAAATCATAGTTAATTGTGTCACCTCTAAATGTTGTTACTTTATTACATTCTGGATGAAAGTTTAATACTTTGTCTTGTATCCATATAGTTCTTTTTGGAAGTACAGCTTTTGTTGGTCGACAAGCTTGTGCAAGTGTTTTCATACCTCCACCAATCAATGTAAATAATGGTTGGTAATAATGCATATCATTTGGTTCTAAAACTATTACATTATGACCATATTTAGCTAATTTTGCTGCCATTGTACATCCTCCTGATCCACCTCCAACTATCAAAACTTTACAGCTCTGTTGAAAATGTCTAATTGTAAAGATATTTGAAAACATTTTAAAATCAATTTTCACGTAAAAATTAATTTTTAAATTTTTAGAGTTAAATTAATAACATATTAAATAATTTTATTAATTATTACATCATACACTATGTAACTTTTAAGTGTTTTGTCCTTCAAAATTTAAATTGCGAATCTTTTATATCCTTATGTTGTAAACAAGTGTAATACTAAATAAATAGCGCAATCTATTATTGAAGTTTGCAAAGTCAACAAATGATTGCTGTTTCACATTAAATAAAAAAATTTTGCTTTTTTCGTTTCAACGAGTTTTACATCTTTTATTTAGTGCGGAAACTCTTTAACTTTTATATTTACAATTTTTTTTTTAATTTTGTTATTTCTCTTATTCAATATTAGAAAAATTCTCTTTTAAACGGAACTTTCTCCAATCCTTCCTCACCTATGTATTATTAATAATAACTCATTTCCCTTAGCGTTCTTTTTTTGTTAATTTTTTTTTTTAAACCTGCTTTATATTAATATTATAATCATAGTTTAAATAAGGGAAAACACCTTTGCCACGAATTGATAATGCCCCAATATTTGATAAAGTAGTAAATTTACTCTGACATTTAATAAATAAAAAAACGCGGTAAAAACTGATATTATCGATAGTTAAAAAATTGCTTATTCATGTACAAATTTTTATTTAAATATTTACCATCTATATAGAGAGGTTCTCGAGTGTTACTTTTGTTCCAAGATGATTCTTGTTGAAATGACTTTCTCGCTGGACCACTGAGGAAATTTCCTAAGTGATTTAGCGAGAAAAAAAATTTTAATTTAATGCAGGCCTCCTGAGCTAGGCGACACTGCAGAAAGATTATAATTTTGCTAGTGTTTTCATGTCGTTAGCTTAACGTTTATCCTACAAATACAAATATATTATTTTATAAATATAAAATTATCTTTTTTAAACAAGTTGAAATTAATTTTCAAAATAAAATCACGTATGCTATATTTTTTAATTTTATTTATCATATAAACAGCGCTTATTGCCTATGAATTGAACAGGAGTCATATACATTTTCCATATTTACAATTTTACAATTCATTACGTATAATTAAAATAGTAATTTTAGTTTATTAGGTAATTATTATACCCTATTTAAATTCTCCAATCATTTTTAAATTAAATACAAACGCATTAGTTATTTATAAAATGATAATTGATATTTACACGAAAGGATATGTTTTAATTATTTATATAATAATAACATAGTACACCATGTTTTTTAAAAATGTATGCTATATTTTTTTTTTTTGATATGTATATATCTTATAAAAAACGTTGTACTGTTTCAATATTATATTATTAAAAAAATTGTTTAACAGAAAAATACAATCTGTACAATGAACACAATAAGCATATATGATAAAAGTGGAAATAAATTACATGAATACATTTTGATAGAAAAAACCATAAGTGACACTTTCCATGATTTTTAAAATATGTTGTACTTATATTTACATTGATTTGATTATGTATTAATTTATAATTTATATTATTAGATAGAAGATCACGGCATCACTTACGTTTAAACATCTGGGTGACCCACCAAGTATGGACAAGGATGAGAGGTTTTTCATTAGGGGGTTTAGACATTACTATTATATTTGAGATCCATTTAATGAGAAAAAATGAATACTTGTTTGATTACCAATCATGATTATAAATTAAAATATTTAACTATAAATGTACGACTAATAAAACTTTAGGTAATAACCATAAAAATGATAAAATGTCTCAATCATTTTTTACTGGATCAGTTGTATATATATAACAACTCGTGTTAGCTAAGTTTAAATCTAATTACCTTAACAGAATGATTAATCATAAATTATTGTCCACTGTTACTGTGTTGTGCTCACTTAAATTTACTAGAGTTTAGGGGTATTGAAACAAAATATTTGGTAAAAAAAATTACTTTTACCTTCTCTAAATAATATTTTTTTACAATTAGAAATTCATTTTGAAACAAAAAAACATAATAATTTAATATCTTTTCAGCTTCACATTAAAGTTAAAAATGATTAGTTATAGAATAATGTTAATTTTTTATTATAAAACTTATAATTCAGGCACTTGGTAATTAAGAAGTACAAATGACATTAAAAAAAGTGAAGTCATGTGTTGATTGAGGCTGAAATTTAATAGTTCTACTACAAAAAAAAAAAATTTGAAAATGTGTAAAAGCAATAAATCTCTTGAATTTTAAATGCCTTAATTTTTATCATCTCTATGTACCTTAAAGAAATATTTTAATAAACTACTGTGGTCTAATAACTTAATTTTTTTATTTATTTATAGGGGATCATAATTTTAATAACTGTCCGATGAATGAAACTTCTGTTGAATTTTGGGATTATCAAGAACAAGTTTTTAATGGATATCAAGAAAATAATCAACTAACTGATAAAAATCTCATGAATAAACCTTTCAAGTAATATATTATCTATAATATTAATTCAGAATATTGAAGCGTAATATTATAACATTCCCAATTAATGATTCTTCTTTTAATTTAACAGTACATATAACTTAATATCAAAATTTCATATTATAATTTATATTCTTATTTTTTTTCTTTTATACCCTTATATCAGGAACATAGTAAATTATGAGGGTTTTTCTTTTTCTAACATGTGAACTTAAAATTACATATAAATTAATGAAAATTAATGCTGCTAAATATAAGATTAAGTTTTACTAATATTTTATACAATTCACAAATATTTCAAAGTTATATTAAATAATATTTTATCAATGGGGAAGAAAATTTGTTACTAGCTATTCTTAATTATCCTTAGTTATCCAGGGATAACTATTACAATAATTTAAACAAAAATATACCAAGTGATCTCTCTTATAAACATTTTTACACATGATCTCTGAAAAAGTGTGATGCTTAAAGCAAGGGCACTTATTATCCTTTTCCCTCTTACATCAAACAAAATTAATCTGATAGTGAAACCGTATAATAGAAAGAAAAATTTTGATCTATTCTTGAAAAATTCCTGTGGACCAACTTGAATTAAATCAGAAATGCATACAATTTTTAATTGTAAATTAAAACATAAATGACAATTATTATAAAAAATTGGATTGTTGCTATTTTTCTAATATTGTTTGACATCAATGATTATAGATCCTTTATATTTTTATAGGTGTTCTATTGGGAATTGTAAAATAAAATTTGGAACTGATGATAATTTAAAGTATCATAAAAGATGTCATTCAGATGATGGATATCAATGTTCTGAACTTGATTGTCATTTCATGGATACAAAATGGTCAAAAATTATGTCACATTTATGGAAAACACATAATATAGATTTAGAAATGTTTAGTTGTAATAAATGCAATTTTAAAACCAACAGGTTAGTCTTTAAGTGTAGTATTCATTCTGATCTTATTTTATTTCTATATTTATAAACTTTGATTAAATTTTTATAACCTCCATAATTTATTGTTAGTTTATACAAATTAAAAACTTTCCATAAAAGTATTCATGAGCAAGATAGACCATTTTTATGTACCGAATGTGGAAAAAAGTTTAAATCAGTTAAACAACTAAGAAACCATAAGGTAAATTCTTTTTTCAGGATATTTTATAAGAATAAAAAAAATCATCATTTTATGGTTGTAGGTAATACATTCTAAAGTAGACAAGCGATTGAGAATAGATTTAACTTGTTTACATTGTTCACGCAAGTTTACATCAAAAAGTCTTCTCCATCAGCACATATCTAGTATACATATTAAAGCTCGCCCGTTTTCTTGTGAATTATGCTCTTATAAAACTTCAATAGCAAGTTCTTTGAGATTACATATAAGGTCTCATACTGGCGAAAAACCATTTAAATGTGATGAATGTGGTTATTCAACATCAGATCATAATACACTAAGAAAGCACAAGATGAGGCATACAGGAAAAAAAAGTTACACGTGCCCTCACTGTAATTACTCTTGTATTCAAGCAACTTCATATAAAAAGCATTTAAATACTAAGCATCCAGGTAATTATATTATTAATAAATTCATATTTATTGTTAATTAATTAAACAAAATCTTATACGTCAAGAAAATTATTATGAATGAAGACAAAACTTAATAATTATACTCTAAAATGCTAAATGAGTTAGCAATTTGATTATTCAAATAAAAACAGAGGCATAATTTAGATAATAAAGTAGGTAGATCCCCAGAACTATAATAATCTGTTGAAATGAGTTTTTTCAACAATTTTTTTTTTTAGAAGTAAAATTTCTTCTGTTGTATACCCTACTCAAAATAATTCTATAATTACGCTATTGAATGAAAAAAGTTACTAGATATTATATAAAAAATGATGAAGATATATTGTCAAAATAAATAAAAATTATGTCTCAGTTAATTTTTAGCTTCGAAGCGAAACTGAGAAGGTATTAATTTTACTGTTTTTTTTTTTTTTTTTTTTTTTTTTTTTTCTTTTTTT